CGGGGACCCCCAACCGTGCGTCTTCTAGGCGGTTGACTCGTAAAGTCCCGGCCGGTATACTATGGGTAGACGGTGGCAGGCAACTTTGGGGGGAAAGATAGGGACCCGGGAAGAGTAATGTGGTAAGTTTGACATTTCGCAATCGGGAGAGTCATGCTATGGGAGTCGGCAATGTCAACATGCTATGGTACATAACAGAGATTTTTACGTCATGAACTTGTGTAAGTTGTACGTTCTTCATCCGTCAGCTAAACATCAGATTGTAAGCAACTTACCTGGTTCTCAATCCCGTGCCAGTCTCTTTGGAGCACATGTTGTGACGATGTATCACATCAAACATACACTGTAGAACCCACCGGACAGGCATAATCCTTAGAGACGTAGTTATTGCTGCCTGTAAGTTCATCACCAAGGCTGTTCGAGCAAACCTAGTCTCACTTGTTTCCATATTTGGATGTACGCATTTTGTTAAGAGAATAGAATTACCCACTACACTTACATGACATAAGAAAGAGGTAAGGAAAAGTTCAAATTCTCGCAAGTGATAGGAAAACAGCAGGAGACCTGGTGCCGCCCGCACAGCATAATGTGTTACGTGTGGCACACCAGCGCCTTCTGCTTAGAGAGTGTGTTGAAATACCACATTGTACGCCACCCATAAGCCGAACACCCGGAACCCAAATCCATGAAACACCAGCCTAAAGCATTTTGCGGGCTCTTGCATTTGTCAATATGCCCAGCCTGTGACCTCTTCGAGATCTACTTATGGCATCTCCTGATCGCTAGCGTCGAGGATATCATACTCCTCGTCGGTCAAGAAGCCGTCGTCGGAGTGGAGTGCAACGCTCTCGGCATCCTCGAAGAACTCATCATCTGAAGCTACAGTAATAGTGCGAGCCACAGTGCTCTTTGCGGAAAGAGGAGACATGGGCTGAGCAGCAGGAGATGGCTGATAGGTGCTTGACGCAGGCGACTCCTTGTCGAGCTGGGGGAAAATCATGCCAGACGACGAAGGTCCGGCTTCGGGCTCTGAAGTCTTTTCTGGGCTGGGGAGCTCGGCGACTGGCTCCTCGACTGGTTCTTCAACCGCCTTTTCAACCGCCTCTACAGCTGGCTCTTCAGGGGCAGCCTCGACCTTTGGTGAGACGGGCTCCTGCTTGATGGTAGCGAGGGCAGCCTCATGCTCCTTCCGACGGAACTCAAGAACACGCTCGACAGCAGCCTTGCGAACACGCTGCACTTGCTCCATCTTTTGTTGGTGGTTCTGCTCAAGTTGCTGCAAGTGAGTCTGGCGCATGTACTTTACCCTCTCCCTCTCGGCTCTTGCCTGAATAAGGCGCTCGTACATTGGGTTAGACCTGGGAGCGACCTCGTAAGTGGTTGCGGTACCAGGCCTGGAGGCAGCCTGTTGTGGCTCTGCGAGTGCTGGTGCAGCAATGACGGCAATATCACACCACAGGCGGTGACCAAAGGGCATGCCTGAAGGAGTCTTCAAGCGCCAGTATGAGATTGCGGTGCCCTCACGCTGGGGTGCCTTCATGACTACACGGAACTGAGCCTCCTCACCGGGCTGAACGGCATCATCCAAGACGTTGCTCTCGCTGGCCTCGGCAAGTTCCGTGTGGCTCAATGGACGGCTGTTGTCAATGTTGAGCATGTTGTCGCCTCCAACGTGGCGAACGCTGCATCCAGCAGGCCAGGCATTTGGTCCTGGGTTGCGAAGAGTCCAGGTCTGGACGAATGTAGCGCCTACAGAGATCCTGGAGCCATCAAGAATGGTATCCCGAATAAAGTGGGCATCAAGTCCATCCGCAGCGGTCTCAGATCGGGGGATCGGAATGGCCTCCGACTTGACGGGCTTCTCCTCGGCAGGTACAACGATCTTCTCCTGGACTGGCTCGATGGAGTCGACGAGAAGATCACTGATGGTAATCTTCTCCTTCTTAGCCTGAGACTCTTCTGGCTTCACATCAAGAATGGTTTGGACTTGTGTCGCGGCATTGGTAGAAGGAGCGACGGAAGGAGCTCTAGAAGGAGCAACGGAAGTCTCAGTGGCGGTAGAGCGCCTGGCAGCCAAACGATCACCAAGACGAGAGAGCAACTTGCCCTCCTTGTCATCGTTGACGGTTGTCACGCTAACGCTGCGCACAGGTGTCTGGAACTTGATGAGAGGATGAGTGTGGTTGTGCTTGTTGCTAGGATGGGCCTCGCAGTTCTGGCAAAAGTCTGTGTCGTGGCAGACGGCACACTTGTAGCGAATGCCTTCAATGTAGGACAGGTTTTCCTTGTCTTTGCAGAGCGGCCCATCACAGTAGATGCCGTAGTGGCGGTTAGGGCTGCTCATTGGCTCAGCCAAAGGCTCGTAAATGGGAACGAAGCGGTGGCGGGGGTGAATGAACCTGGCGTTCTTTACACAGTCGGTGCAGTAGTCCCAATCGGGACAGTTCAGACACTTGTGGCGAATGCCATAAATGAACTTGTCGCAGCCATCGCAAACGGCCGAGTGGCGGACATTCCTTCCAGAGTTGCACAGGAAATCGGCGAGGGTGGGTAGGACAGTCTCGCTAGTGGCAGCCTTGAAAGCGTGACCGGGGTGGTGGCCATGCTTGTTGCTGATGTGGCACTGCAGGCAAAGGTCATAATCATCGCAAGCGATACATGTGACAAACTCCCTCTCTGGCAAGATCTTGACACAGCAGTTGCAGGTGCGAGTTGGTTCCTCGTCATACACAACAGGCTGCTTTTCCTCGGTGAAGGCGCCTGGAACCTCTTGTTCTTGAGGCTCATCGGCCTCGGCTTCGGGCTCGGCTTCAGTCTCGGCCTTGGCCTTTGGTGCAATGCGCTGGGTTGTGCTGTTAACAACAACGCCGTTCTTAACGAAGCGCTTGACCATCCAGTGGCTGTTTCCAGGGCAGTGGATGCCATTGGTGACACACGCGGGGCAAAGATCATAGTCGCCTCCGTCGCATACACTGCAGTGGTAGTGCTCATCTTCCATGGGCTCATTGCAGTTGTTGCAGTACACAACCCACGACGTACACACGTTCGTCGGCTTGGGGCGGAAGGCGAGACTCGAGTTGCTGCCAGCAGCTGTGACGTTGCCAAAGAAGTCTGGATTCCATGTTAGCCACATGCTTCATGATCAATCTTGTGGTTGGTGCCTACCCTGTCGAGTGGTGAAAGCCTGAGGCACTGGAGCCTCTTGCTCTTTCTCATTGGCCTTTGGTAACAAAACAGAGCTGATTGAGCGAATCGACTTGGAGTCGGGCGAACGAGCGATAACGGGCGGGGTGATAACCTTCTCCTGGGTAGGATCGTCCGAGCTTGTTTCATGAGCTTCGGCGGGTGTCTCTTGAGGTGCTGCAGGCGCAGGTGTGGGCGCAGGCACTGGCTCCTCGCCAGGAATGGAGACCCTCAGGCGAAGCTTGAGTTTGGCTTTTGCAGCGCGGAAGAGCGTCTTGTAGACCTGGGGCTTGTCGGCGTCCAAGGTGACGTACGCAGCGGCCGAGTCGGAGTAGCGCTCAAATAGAACATCCTTGTCTTGGTGGAGTGCGAGGATAGCTCGGAGCTGTGAGCGAGCACGCAGTCAGTATTCGCATGTCCAAGTGATCCGCCACATTCCAGGGCCGTGTTGCCGTCCGCGTGTGCCGGACATGAAGCTGCATGGGACTATACGGACCTTGTCAGGAAGTACATGAGCTCCAAGGTCCTTTAGAGGCAGCTTGAATTTCTTCGTCTGGCCGCGAAACAGGACCTTGACCACGATGGGTGTATCGAGCGTCACGGGGACGGGGTTAGTCGCCGCCATAATGGGCAAGCAAGGCTGGCGGTGAAGGCAAGTGCACAAAGGAGCGGACAGAGCAAACGCAGTCTGCCGGGCACCGCTGTTTGCGAGCGGATGGGGGAGGAGTGCAGCAACAGGTGTAGAGAGAGTTGCTGTTGAGGGAGGGTGATGGAGATGTAAAGGCGGAGGTGGAGGTGGAGCAAGTGAGACGGCAGCGGAGCAGCTGGACGTGTAATGGTAGCTGCCTTGAGTGGGGTCAGTGCTGAGCACCAGGGCGCGCTAAGTGAGCACGACCCGGCCACCGGACTGCCAAAGCTTCCCTTTCCAACTGGAGGCTGGCACCGTCCTGAAAGGCGGGCGACGTTTCTTTTTGCCCATTCTGGTGAGGAGAAAAGGTTCGCGGGCAAGAGACTCGTCCCGCTCAGCTGAAGGAGCGTTGATGTCGTGCATGTCTCTGGCGAAGAGTAGTGCCTCGACTCCAGCGGGCAGTATGCTGTACCTGGACTGGTCGCGTCGATCCAGTGGTTGTGGACCGCCCCCCAGGCTGCAGCATACGTCGTCAGCCCCGGTGAGACCCTCGTCGCCAGAAGATAATTGCCTTCACCCTGCCTTGCCGTCTCCTCACCCACTGAATTGACCAAAGACCCTCCTCCTGCTCGCCTCGATGACGCCACCCAATTTGACGGCACGTGATGGCCTCCCGGTGTACCAGCTGATCATCTGAGATAGCGTTTCACTAACATGGGCAAGACCGGAAAGACGGCCGTCGATATCTTCGCCTCACTTCGCCGGTTAGTAGCTCCGGCCCATATCTGGTGAGAATGCCAACGCCGTTGTACGTGTACGGGGCCCTTCTCCAGTGCGGTGTTTCAAACTGCCACTACGCAGAGTACAACGCAGCCTGCATCGCCACGTCGTGCAACGGCTTCGTTATGATTGGCGCCACAACAGAACTTGTTGGCATTCGGCGAGAGCCACTCAAGACCGCACAAGTGCAAGCTTGGTCACAAGAACGACATGCACGAGTCGTAAGAACCAAGCCAAGCAAAGTTGTTATCGATAGTGATAGCGATAGAGCCCTAATGTTGGTGTTTAGCGTCAACAGAACATGACTAAGCCCGTCTTCTCTTAGCGCTGGCTGCAAGGAAGCGAAAATGCAGGACCCAGAAAAAAGTTCAAAGTCAATGCAGCTAGACCAACCATCAAGCACACCACAATGTCCAAAGATATCGACATGACCTCTTCCGACGAGGCCGTCGCCGTTTCCAACAAGGAGCGCCGGGAGAAAAAAGACAAAAAGGAAAAGAAGGAGAAGAAGCGCTCCAAGTCCGAGTCCAAGGATGAGGTCGCAGAAGCTAGCGCCAGTGAAGAGGAAGCGCCAGTAAAAGCAGAGACGCCAGCGAAGAAGCGCAAACGAGATATCCTCCCCGAAGAGCTCGAAATCGATGTCAACCTCCCGGAGCCGGTCTCCAAGAAAGCCGCCCGCAAAGCGAAGAAAGTGAAGCTGAACCCTACACCCGCCGCCGAGGGAGAAGAGGGAGACGCCGGCACAAAGACAGATGGCGAAGCAAAGGGGGCCAAGGATGCAGACGGCAAGCGATCAGCATACGGTGTATGGATTGGAAACCTGCCGTGGTCTGCGACCAAGGATTCATTGCGAACATTCCTGTCCGAGAATTCAGAAATCGCAAGCGACCAGATAACCCGCGTCCACATGCCCCCACCTACAAAGGTCAACCCGAGCTGGACAACTAAGCCTCTGAACAAGGGCTTCGCATATGTCGACTTCTCCACAGAACTAGCAATGTACTCCGCCATTGCCCTGACAGAAACTAAAATGGACGGCCGTGCCCTACTCATCAAGAACGCAAAGAGCTTCGAGGGACGGCCAGACAAGCCAAAGACAGAAGAAGGCCAGGACAATCGCCGCGCAGCCGGCGCAGACAAATCGGGTCACCCACCCAACAAGCGCGTCTTCATCGGCAACCTCTCCTTCGACGTGACCAAAGAAGACCTGCAAGAGCATTACGCGCAATGCGGCGACATCGAAGACATCCACATGGCCACCTTTGAAGACTCGGGCAAATGCAAGGGCTACGCCTGGATCACCTTTGCTGACGTGGAATCCGCCACGTGGGCCGTCAAAGGCTTCGTCTTCAAAGACGCAGCCGAATTCAAAAGGAAGGGCAAAAAGGACGATAGCGACGATGAAGACGACGACGACGCAAAACCTGAGAAGAAGAGGAAATGGTTCATCAGCAAGTTCATGGGCCGTGAGCTGCGATGTGAGTTTGCAGAGGATGCGACGACACGTTATAACAAGCGCTGGGGCAAGGATAGGCCCGTCAAGGCTGTTGATGGCGTTAACCCGGATCGCTGGAGGAACTTTGATCAAGGCGGTGATCGTAAAGCAGGCCGTGGGAATAACGAGCGAGGCGGTGGGTCGAAGCGCAAGGTTGATCCGCGAACAATCAAGAGCGGTGCGGCGCATTCGAGTGCGCCGAGGGCGAGCCAGGCAATTGTCGAGTCGCAGGGTAAGAAGACGACGTTTGATTAATTTTGGGCATGAGTATATATGTTAGTTCGAATACGGACGGCTATTTTAGACAAATGGATGGGTGGGGGGGAAAGGGGGGAACAGCAACGGCGCACTTGATTTCAGCCAGGACTCAAGAACGAGTCCCAGAAAATGGAAAGACAGGTGAAGACCATACTGAAACGATATAATCCATACGTTCTCAAAAGTATTTCTACATAAAAGAATAGTCAAAGTCAACTTGCACCCCACCATCCCACCTAATCCATCTCTCTCTCTCTTCCAACACTACGCCGCAGCATGAGACGCCATAAACTGCGCAAACGCCGTCGCATTCCTCGTCTGCATAAACACGGTACCTGGTCCCGTAAACTTGCACACCAGACCCTCGCCCGACGCCAAATTACTCACGATACCACCGCTAGTCACGCGCTCAAGTACGTACTTGCAGTTCCACGCTACAAGGTGACCGTTATCGATGATATACTTCTCGTTGGCAGCAAGCTAGTCACACATATCAGTATAATTCCTCCGTGGAAAAAGGCGCAAGAGAAAGATGTGTGAGAAGGGGGAAAGAAAAAGGAAAAAGAACTTACATCTTTCCTGATAATCGCACCAAAACTCGTACACCACAGAATTCCCGTACCACTAATCTTGTACACGAAGAACCCTTCGCCGCTGAACATGGCTTTGCCTATACCCTGGCTCTTGTACTCCGTCACGATACCCTGCGTGCATGCGAGAAAAGCGTCACGTCCCACACTCCACGTATCATTCCCACCAAGCTTGATGATGGTAATATCGCCGATGGCAGGAGGAGCCAGGAGCAATTCTCCGGGGCCGGTATATGTGGATTTTGCCATATCGCCGCCAATTAGGGCTTTCTTGAGTGAGAACTTGACGTTGCCTTTTAGTGTCATGGTGGGTGACATTGCGATCATGGCGCCTGGTCATGGAAAGATTTGGAATTAGCAATTGTCCTCTTGTGATTTCAGATTTCTCTGTTCTCCTCCTCTACGACAATGAGAGCAAAGAAGAGGTATGCTTGATGTAAAACTCACCGGGTTTCGCGGTAAATGGACATCCCATTGCCAGTTGTATAGTGAGAATCGTGTTGGTATCCCTGTGGCTCACGCGGAAACTTCCTCCATTGAATGTGCCGACGTCATCTGCGGCTACTGTTGTAGGTGTTGCATTTGCGCCTGCGCCTACAAACTGCGGTTGCTGTGGTATACTCTGTTGGCTCATCTGCGGTTGTCCCATGCCTGGGTGTCCTTGCTTCTCAGGCGGGTATGGGCTTGCGCTTGGGCTTCCAGCGGGGAATCCACCGAAGCCTGGGCTCATGGGCTGCTGTTGGTATTGCTGTGGTTGCGCTTGCGGTGGGGGCGATTGCGCCTGGCCCGGAGGTGGGTAATGCTGCTGTTCGGGCGGCGGCGCATATTGTTGTTTCTCAGGCGGCGGTGCGTAGTGATGCTGTGTGGTGGTGCCTACGGCTGGAGGAGGTGGATAGTGTTGTTGCTGGTGCGCGGGGGGAGAAGAAGGCGGTGGTGGGTAGGATTGGCCGCCGGGAGGGGGCGCGAAGTACTGTTGTTGGTGTTGCTGGTCTGAAATACGTCAGAAGGGTTTCTATAGAAGAAGGTTTACTCGAATCCGAGCTTGAATGGGAGAGAAATACCGGGAGGAGCTGGCCAATGTCAGTTGCTACCTCATAGTGTTTACAGCATGCAACTCACGAGGGTAATAGTTCCCACCCGGTGGCGGAGTCGGCTGGTGTCCTGACATTGCTGATTCGGGGGTTGCCTTAGCAGTGAGGTAGCTCAAAAGGCAATGCTAGAAGGGTATCACAAGCTCAAGGCAGAATTGGGAGAGAGAAAGGAAGGAAAGAGCAGGGAGATTCAGATTCGTCTACGGAGATATCAGCAGCCACAAGCAGTATAGACAGGCGTTTTAACCGCGCGCCCCATTCCTGTCTTCTTGGTCAAGCTGCTCAGCCTCGGGCGCGCAGCCTGCTGGTTAGTGGGGTGTGGACTTGTAACCGCCGAATCAGCGCCCCGCATTCGCCTTGGGCTCTCTGGGTAGCACGCGCCCACCATGTGCGACGGGTGAGCAGCACAAGTGCACATCGTAGTTCATGCACAAGTTGCCATTTTTGCTGCGACGACGCTGCACAAACCTGGTATGTCTTTGCATGTGCGGTCCACCAGGAACGGGACGGAGGCGCCTGCAGTCGTCTGGGTAGTTAGGTCGGGGGTGCACAAGCATATTACAGGACGGACAAATCAAAACCCATGTTTCTGCCAATTCTCTCTGTGCCGCCGGACTTGACATGAATGCCTTGTAGGCCCTCCCCCTGTCTTTGCATGCCAATGTCGTCGTGGGGGCCATACGCTATGCAACAACGTCACCTAAGCCAAGCTGTCTTGAGGGAATAGCTGACTGGGTACTGGTCCCAGTTTGGCCCCTTGAACAGCTGATGAATATCTACAGAGTACTACTGTTCTCATAGGATACACGCTAACCGTAGATAATTTCACTAAGACTCGAGTCTAGCCGGATTTGCTTTTCTTATAGAACACAAGTATTACTACAGGTTACGTACTCGGTCTCGTCTTTGTTGGCTCACCAGCAGATCTCAAAAGCCATCTCACAGTGAAAAAGATAGGCAAGCATGAAAGACACCGACGCCTTATAGGCACAGCCGTGCGCCCTGTGTAAAGGCCAACCCTCAATATGTTGTGTGATGTAGGCGGCACGGGTGAAGGGCGAGTTTGGCCTTGGGTGTTCCAAGACCCAAGCTCAAGGCATGGCGTTGAGCCTAGACTCCCTGGTGACACATTGCGAGCTTGGAAAAACTATGCAACTTTAACTTTGACTGACAGAATGACAAGTGTCATGGGCCCGACAAAGAGTACATTCCCTGCTCTATCATGTGTAGCAAAAGTGCCGCTTAAACACCTATACCGACAATGTAGAACCGTCTTGTCAGGGGTAGTAGCAGGATGAAAATAGGCATACAGAGTGTAAGAATCATTTCCAGGTATCCTAAGCAAGTGAAGTCCAGTCGAGGATGTATCAATACTCTGCATCACTCAGGAAACATACCCACACTGGCACTGAATATCCTTCCACTTATCATTCATCATTCCGAATCCCTTTTGATTCCACATGTACGCAAAACTATCCATGGAATGAATGTTACACAGCATCCTCATATCGCTGAAAGGCCCTCATTAAAGCAGCCGTCCAAAAGCGCGCCCGCTTACCGAAAAGCCCAGCCAGCCGAGCCATGCAATAACATTGAACATCGTAAACCCCGCATAACAAGAATGAACAATCTAAGCCACCATTCTCCGCCTCTTTCCGATCTGTGCAGAGAAACCAGTCTTGATAGCTTGGACCGAACGCCTTGATCCGCAGCTGTTGCAAGTAACGAAGTTGAGACGGTTCTCACCCTTGGACAGGTCCGTATCGGGCGAGCGGCAAGTCTTGCAGGTAACGTATTCGACAATGTATCGCCTAAGCACGTTCTCCAACTGCTTTTGCTGGAAACGGCCCTTGATGACCAGACGCTTCTGGTCGGCAAATGAACCGCTCGTACCCAATTCGGCAAACAGGAACTGCGCAACGTGCTCGTCGGAACGTTTCATACGCTTACAAATCTCGGCAAGGTTGGCGAAAACGGTCTTCTTGTTTCCTTCACGCATACACTGTGGGGGCGGGATCTTATAGCTCTTTGTGCCTGAGCTGGCGAGATCGGGGTGTTGAGCGTGGAGGAGTGTGAAGAAGCGGTTGAGGAGGAGGTTGTAGCTGATGGGAGTCGTCTGGTCGTGTTGCCAAATGCCAGTGCCCTTCATCATGTCGCCTTCTTGCACTTCTGGTTCGGCGGCGGCAGCCTCCTCTTCGCCCTCAGCCTTCTCTCCACCAGCAGCGGCGAGCTTAGCCTCGAAATCATCCTCGACCTTCTTTTTGCTAGACTTCTTCTTTTTCTTCAGCGCAGCGAAATCGCCCTCTGCGCCGTCATCCTCCTCGCCTTCCTTCTTCTTGGTCGACTTCTTCTTCTTCTGTACTTGTGTCAGCAGCTCGCCACACATCAAGACATGCGTGTATGCATACCTTCTTAGCGAGGTCAGCGAACATGTCGGTGACCTCTTCGACCTCCTTGTCATCGCCCGCTGCCCTACCCGTCAGTTTATGTTTTTTGTTGCCTACACACAAGCAATCTCACCGCCACCAGAGGAGTGACCCTCGGCAGATTCCTTGCCGCCGTTCACCTCCAGAGACTCGGTGACTTCGCCGTTGCTGTCGACGATCGTGGTGCCTTCAGAAAATTGAACAGACTTACGTGTCTTACGTTCGGGGACCTCAGCCTGCGTTGGGAGTCATGTTAGCATAAGCTTTTTGACGAAGATCGCATTGAGCTGCCATCCATGTGCGGGAAGTGTAGCATCGCCTGTCGTAACAGAGGAAAGAAAAAACAAAGCCGGATGCAAGCCTATACAAAGCGATCACAGTAACAGTTCCGTTGGAATATTACTGCAGATCACTCCAATATGCCTAGGACTGCAAGGTCACCTGCGGTCTTGCATCCGGCTCTTCTCCCAATGCCCACTTCCCCATTTCGAACAGCCCAGCGTGGGGTCAAATGACGTACAGTATCAGCCATGATTGCGGTTGTATAGAGAGTTTTCCGTCGGTGTTGCAGTAATAATTCTCGTAGGAAAAATCGGATATGATCGCTGTTTGCGGGTGATTGTTGGTGGTGGCGTTGAGCAGACGTGGGCAACAACGGCCTTGAACTTCGCCGCAACACACATGTGTGAGTCGAACTGCGAGCCAAGATTTGCGTCACGTGATGAGAACCGCCCAAGCCCCACCTCCGCTCATTGGTTGCGGCGTCACATCACCAAACGCGCCGACGTAGCCCGACAGGTACTCGTCGCATTGCACGATCGCGATTTCACAATTGTCCCATGTTCTGGTGGTAATCCGCATTTCCGAGTTACGTATCCACCGCTTTTGTTTGCTGGTCATCCGTTACCGAACCCGCCATGTCGATGAGCAATAGCGAGAGCTTCGTCGAGCACTCCTCGGTCGACGAGGTTGATTCCCTGCCCTCTTCCTCTTCGAGTTCCTCAGTCGACGAGGAAGAATACATGTCAGATGCGGATCGGGAATGGAAAGAATCGCTGCAGCAACTGGAACTGCTGCTGACAATGGTCATGGTGCCGTATCTGGGGAAATACTTTGGCAGGAAAGCTGCGTACTGGGGTACGTCATCTTCAGCATAAAGGAACAAAGAGTAGCTTGGCATGATGCTGACTATGGAAATAGGATGGGCCAAGTTTATGGAATGGAAGTATCCCGTCGAGGTGACCATTTCAAGCCCAAAAACGTTCAAGCTTACGGGAGCCGTCGAGGCAGCAGCGACGCTGTGAGGACTGCGCATAGTTCCGGACAATTGACATATTCGAGCATTGGCGTTCGTGGCGTTCAGTTCTATACGATATCCAGTTACTCTATGGGGCGGATCATGTACATACTAGGCTCCATATCCGTGCATTGGACACAATAGAAGGGGAGGACAGGGGCAAGCCCGCGCCAGCTTTGATCTTTCTCCTTACTTCTGTTAGGTCGGCATCTAACCCAGCTATACGGGCATATTGAGACACGTAGGTTTTGTGTGTCGACAAGATAGATATGGAGTGGAAGAGTGCCTCTCAGGGGCACCTTGGTAGACAGACGATGTACCGCAAGCAAAGGCGTACGGAGTCCTACTTGACCCATAGAAATAGAACGATCCCCTCATCAGCACATTTTAACATGTACCAACCATGACAACTCTTACACAAATCCCTCTCAACTAGCATTCTTATACCAGGGTATCAATCACTCCATACTTTCCCCTCATACAAATCTCTCTCTTCATACACACATCTCTCTCTCCCCCAATGCCTCACTTCCTCCCCTCAACCATAATAATATGATACCCCTCACTCGTCTTAACCTCCCCAATCTTCGGACTCCCCGTCGTACTCGGCTCAAGCTCATACGCCACCTTTTCAAAATCCTGCATCAGACTGCCTCGTACTTTCCAGCCTAGACTACCACCTGTGTCGCAATAAGAATAAGAAACTCAAAATCATGACACGTGAAGAAACAATCGAGTGAAGAAAAAAAGATGGGACAAGAGAAGGGAAGGGAGAGGGAAAAAAATACCTTGCCTAGCCTTATCCTCACTCATTTCCCTCGCCACATCATCGAATTTCGCTCCATTCCGTATCTTCTCAAGCGCCTCTTCCTTCTTGGAGTGTTTTTCGCACAGGATATGGCGGACATTGATGCTAGTTGCTGGTTTGAGTTTGCTGCTGCTACTGCCTTTTGAAGTTTCGGCTTTGGAGTCGTCTTTGCCTTTGCCTTTGTTTTTGGGGGCCATTGTTGGTTCGGTAGGGTTGGGGGGGATATGTGTATGTGTATGTGTGTATGTGGCGGGAGGGAAAAGGGTTCGTAGGTAAAGAGGATGTTTGGTTGGGATTCGACGAAGATCTAGTACTACTTGAATCTAGTGAGTGAGGTAAGACGTCGTTTCCCAACTGTAATACAACAAGTCACGCCTCAGTTAGACTGATACGAAAAGGTTAAAGGGCAGATATGCAAGCTCCGAGCTCCGAATTGCGGGGCAGGTTCGGAGGGGGGGATGGAAATTGTGGATCCGCTTTAAAAGTGGGGGGGGGGGAAAGTGTGCTCGTCAAAAAAGCATAGACAAGGATAATCCCTAAAATAATCCCCATGCGAAATCACTTTCTGGACGAGAACCACAAAAGGTCAAACACGAAAAAATTTCCTAATTTCCCATCATGCATTGAGTTTTGACAAAGTTGCTGTTCTTGGCTTTTCATGCTTATTTCACTTGAGAACCTGCCCTCCTCCGCCTTCAATCCATCCGCCCTATTTTTCTGGGTCGCATGCATTAGAGCAAAAATAACCCTACTGGGGGGACGGTACCGGCCGGAATCGTTACTTTTTTAGATGGAAATTATCGTAACGCCGTGGCCTTCCAACAAAATGCTGATGATGATTGGCGTCCATGCCAAGTACATAGCCCATGGGTGTGAACAAGCAAGGTTGCAAAATGCAATTCCGCGGCCGACTTCTACGTATTATGTCCCCCTGGACTCATTCCAAACCTCAATTAGACACTCCCCCAAACCCTGCTGTCGGCCCCCTCCGCTGGTGCGGCAATGCGTGCTACTGCTTGACTCGTTCGAGCTAATTGTGACTAGTGAACCTGAATGCTTTCGTTACTTCAGCCATTGCCGTTGACAATAGTGGTGCGAACAGTGTTGTTGACACCATTTTGGGAGAGCACAATGTCCATGAAGCTCTTGCGGGGCTTGTGCTTCTTATCCGGCAGCTCGTCGTTGATGTCAGCCAGATGGATTCGTCGTCTCTTGCACTCAGCACGCATGTCGTTCAGCAACGGGCGGAGGGTTTCCACCTTGTCCACCTCGGCATACAGTAATGATTCCTCAACCCAATATAAACCTTCCATTGCTGCAAATTGGTTCCTAGCCTCCTTGATACTCTCTTGAATCTTCGCGTAGTCAAAGTCTGGAGCACCTTCCATGGGAAATCGAAAATCTTGAGCTAGAAGTGCAACGTCGTATTGGCGCAGGATTGCATCTCGTTGTGTACGATTGACAGGAATTCGGGTCCAATTTGAGTAAGGAGCATCGAGGTGGGCTAAATCGAGTTCGGGGAGTCCAAGGATGCCAACTACTTGGAACGAGCAGACGTAGGTCTTGCCGGGCAAAGCCTGTGGATCCCTGAGATCTTGAGCGCTTGCGTAGAAGAGTGGTAGGAAGACAGCTGAGACGCCGAGCTCTTCGCCTGAAAAGTGGAGTGGTCGATTGGTACCTAGTTCGCAGGCTCGCCGTAGGGCTCGAGGAAGTTTTGAAATACGATTTTGGCGTTCCAACAGTTCCTTCTGACGCTTGGCCTCTTCTGCCGCTTGCCGTTGCGTCTCCTCCTCTTTTTTGATACGGGCAGCCTCCGCTTGCTCTGCTTGACGCCGGGCTTCAGCTTCAGCTTCGGCCTCTGCTTTCTTCTTTGCTTCTTCTGCTTCTGCAACCTTGCGGGCAGCCTCTTCTGCTTCCTTGTTTTTGGCTTCGGCCTCAGCCTCGGCCGCTGCCTGGGCTGCTTTCCGTTTCGCTTCTGCCTGTGCTTGTTGCTCTTCCTGACGCCTTAGACGTTCCACCTCAGGTGTAGCTACCCTTTCAGGTGGAGCCGGTGTCGACTTGGCGGATACAGTAGGAGTCCTCTTCACACTAGTGTCATCGGCCGATGCATCCGACAGCCTTCGTTTTCTTATCTTTTCCTCCACGGTCTTGTATTTGATTTTGTTCTTGACAATCTTGCGTTCGTCGGGCGAATCTACTTCCGGGGTTGGTTTTGCGCTGATCGGTTTGGATGGCTTCACGACTGCTTTGACTGGAGGTTTTGCGCCATGATCTTCATCACTTTCGTCTGAACGTGCATGAACCGGCCGTTTGGATTCATTGTCGTCTGACCGTGCTTTCAGAGCTTTCCTGACCGGTTTTGCCTCTTCGCCTTCGCCTTCGCTGTAGGACCGCCGCTTGACTTTGCGTGTAGGCGGCCGTACATCTTCTTCGCTCTCCTCTTCAGATGAGTCGTCTTCTACAACACGTTTCCTCCTCTGACCCTCTCGAGAAGCCTTTTCCTTTCCGGACATTAACCGTCGTGACTTTTGAGGCGCAGAGGAGACAGTATTTGATTTTGTGGCACGTTTCGGCTCCGCTTGAGGCGAAGAGGAGCGTTCCCGTCGTGGGGATGACTTTCTCTTGACGCGATTGGCCGCAGGGATCGGTGCTTCTTTTTTGGTTCTTCGTGGACTTCGATGATTTTTCTGGTACTCCTCGCAAGCACGTTTCAGCATATCCCTCTCTTCTTCCCACTTCGGTCCATGTCGTTCTTCTGAAATTTCATAGTACGTCTTGTTGTCTTTGTTCCTCCGCGTAGGGTTGAAGTTGTCTTGTTCAAGAAGTAACTGTATGATCTTCAGGTATCCACGCCCAATGGCAACTGTCATGGGCGTCTCTGGGTGCTTGGATGGGTCGGGATCGGCCTTCAAGCCGCTAGCCAAGAGAATACTAAGGATGTCGTAATGTCCGCCTCTGGCTGCCGCAACTCCGCAGGTGATGTTTGGCTTGATGTTGCTGTTTATGAGTTCTCCCACAGCTAGGATATCTCCGTCTCCAGCCTTTTCGATAAGGGTTTCGACATTGAATTCGTTGTACAAGAGGCGAGAAGCAGTTTTGGCCTGTTTCTGCGTGCGTTCTTGGTCGTTGGTAGAAGTATCCACTCGTTGTCTCATTGCTTCTCTCAGTTCTTTTTCAATCTCGGGCGCGTCCTCGTCTTCGGGATCAAGAACATCAATGGCGCGTTGTCCTTTTTTGTTCGAATGGTGGGGATTGACCTGGCCCTGGTTGAGCAAAAGCTTGACTACGTCTAGATGCGAGTTTTCGACTGCATCGATGAGCGGCGTATCGCGGTCATGGCTCTCACAGTCGGTACGACAGCCTTTGCTTATCAGATAACGGACAACGGGCGCCCAACCATGTAGCGAGGCTTTTTGCAATGGAGTGATTCCAGCATAATCAGGCTGGTCGAGCTCGTCTGGCGCCTCCTCGTACGCTTCTTTGACCGCGTCCAAGTCGCCCTTTTCACTTTCTCGAGCAAGACGAGTGGCACCAAAGCGATCAATTTTTCGATGGGGCATGGTACGCGCAGGCGAGGTCAAAGCGCGATGTGTGGAGCGCTTTACTCGGACATGCTGCTGCAGATGGGGTGCAGACAATGGCTGGGGCGAGGTTGAGTGATCTGAGCTGGATCCTGACCAATGCTCCTCGTTGGACAGAGCGAGATTGGTGACTTCGCGGCGCTTGCGACCGGCAATGCCCGTGGCAGTGGATTGGGTGGATTGGGAGCGTTTGTGTGGGCGGCCAAAGCCTGGCGTGTCGGTCTTGGCTTTCTGGCGCGGAGGCTCAAAGGGAAACGAGTCATCGCGTAGCTTGCGCTTGCGGTTGTCAACCGTCGAGGCACTGCGGCCACGCGATTTGGCGACATGGTTGGGGCTGGTGTCCTTTGTGCGCGTGTTTGGAGATGAAGGGGCCGGGCTCTTTGCGCCGTTGATTTTGACGTGGTTGGTGGTGCGTTGGCGGCCGTTTGGCTGGGGCGAGTGCAGGCGCGGCTCTTCTTTGATGGAGCGCAGACGTGTCGCGTCGCTGTTGCTGTGATCGTCATCGTCGTCATCGTCGACGCGTTCCGTCTTGATCAGCTTGGAGTCAGCAGCAGGGTTTTCGTCGCGCGACAGGACGACCGTCTCGGCCTCGGACTCGGGCTCTGCATCCTGGTCGTCGTGGGCGTCGTGGTTGGCAGGCGGCAGCTCGGCGTGGTCTGGCTTCCAGGATGAATGAAGAGCAGCAGCAGAGGGCTTGTGGGGCTGGCGTGGAGAGGAGCTGCGAGGACGGTCGTGGAGGATGCCAACGGGGGCAGAGGGCGTATTTACGAGAGTATCGGCATTACTGGTCATCACGATAAAGGACAGGACACTTGCAGTTCCTGCCTCATACTGGCTCGGCAGAGCAAGGGAAGGGAGGGAGGGAGCGCAGACGGCAGGAACACGGCGCTCAACTGCCCAGCTCGGAGGGAGGGGGGGACAATGGGCGTGCAGGCGGCAGCGACACCGGGGAGAGGCAGTGGGCGCTGAGGGCGTGATGGGGGGGTGTCGCGCAGGGTGGAGTGGAGAGAGGAACAGCAGCAGCAGCAGTGGAGGTTGAGCGAGAGGCCGGAGAAGAGACAGTCGAGGCTTGCGAGTAGCCAGGCGGCGCTGCACCACTCACCGGCGAGCGCCATTTGCTTGGATCCTAGGCGGGCCCCGTCTCTCCTGAACACAACCCTGCACTCTCGCCTGCGCCGGGGGTGCGGCTACTGCTGGAGCGGATGCTGCTGGCTGCGCGGCTGCGCGTGGAGCTGGAACTGCTGCTGCAACGACGGCGGCCGACGGTGACTGCGAGCGCCTATGTATGAGTGCATGCCGTCGACCATGGGGCAGCCTTTTTTTGTTTTGTTTTGCGGTGGCATGGGCAGAGGGCAGAGGGATGCAAAGGGCGCACGCAGCACGCACGCGCGGCGACATGGCCACGCAGGCGGCGGGTGGTGAGCGCGCAAAGGCTATCGTTACCTGCGACACCTAGCGCACGGTGCGGGTTACAGCTTTGGCTCGCTCGTGGGCGACGACCATGGCCAGATGAGGGCGACGACGTGGGTTCCGGAGGGGACTGGACTGGACGTCGCCTGTACAGACATGCTACTACGTAGCCATGCCATGCGCCGCCATGCGCTGTCCCAGCCAGTCCCATGGGCCATGGGCAGTGGCAGCGTTGCTGTGCCGGCCTACCTCCCCATAATACCATCTGTGCCTGCACAGCTAACACCCGCTAACTAACTAACAATACCACAGTGATCGCCGCCGCCCTCGCCGCCTGGCCACAGTCACAATAATAATAATAATAACTCAATATGCCACTGAACACCCACGCCGTCAGCCACTTGCGGCTACAACCACTGCCACCGTTGGCCCGCGGCTGCGCCAAGATCAGCCCGGCCGCCATCCCATCATGCTGCCGTCACCGTCCCCTTTCCCCCTCCCCCTCCCCCTCCCTCCCAACAGACACGCTCCCCTCTCGCCCTCACGCCCTCACGCCTCCAGCAGCCATGGCTCCGCTTCCGCCCACTCTGCTGCCCGCTTTGCTGCGTGCCTTCTACCTCACTGCCTCACTTCTTGTATCGCGACACCACCACTTCAGCTCCGCCTGCGCCGACCACTAACCGCTGCTGCTTACTAGATCCTCGTCATACAGGCCGTTCCTGCACTACGCACCCGATTTCTAGCCTATGGTCCCCGTGCCACTACACCGCCCGCCCAGGAGAACCAGGAGCCCTCGGCACTCAGTCGCGCTCTCGACTTTGCTGCCTCGCTGCAAGTCCCCCATCACTTCTTCATCCACTTCTACGTCACCTCGGTCGCCTGCTCGCTCCTGTGGGCATGGCAGATGCACGTGTGGCATGCGCATAGGCAGCAACAGGTGGTTTGGGCGCTCCTGCTGCTTCAGGGTCTGCGGCGCGTGCTCGAGTCACATGTCTACACCTCAGCCAGCAAGAGCACAATGTCCGTTGCCCACTGGCTTCTCGGCCTTCTCTTCTACATCACCATCAACGCCGCCATCTGGGTCGAGACACCTGGTAGCGCATCTGCAAATGCACTTCTTGTGCCAGGAGTCATCACAGCCCAAATGCTGCAGCACTCCTACCACGCCTACCTCTACCGCCTGCGCACAGAGAGTAAAGGCTACCAGCTCCCGTCTCACCCCATGTTTCCCAATCTCCTCTGTCCGCACTACACTTGCGAGGTAGTAATATATGCATTACTATCACCCATAGCAGCCCCAGAGGGCAGCTTGATCAATTGGACTGTGGCCTGCGGAACCATATTCGTCGCTACCAATCTTGGTGTGACGGCAGTAGGTACCAAGGAATGGTACATGGCAAAATTCGGTGCCGATAAGGTAGGTTCGCGGAAAAGAATGGTGCCTGCCATGTGGTAATGCCCTTTGCTGTGGCCCACGCGGATGCTAAGGCGCCTATTCAAGTGTAGGTGACACGCCTTTGTAGCTTCCTAGTATTGAACTTGCAAACTCGATACAACTCCCACCGGGAGGTCAATCTAGTATATTCGTTCGGGTGATGGGCATTCTCGTGAATACATGACATGTAAAAATGATATGTACGTACATGCGGAATAGAGCATTGCCAGACAACTGCGTCACATGACGTCGTGTTTGCGCTAGCCCACACTCGGCTGCGCCACGCGTGTGTTTGCCTAATCCAACAGGCTGCACCATCTCGCATGGCCCCAGCAAACACGTCTAGGACGCTGTTTCTTCCTTGTCCAATTTGCTATAAATTGCCAGCACAGAATTTGCCATTTGGAGCTCCTGTGCTTCAGTTCCAAGCATCTAGCCTTGTCACAGTGTGCTTCAAAAGCACAGTGTACTACTACCATACATACGCGAGGCGCGTGCAAGGAACAATCAACACCAAGCCATGGCGGCCAAAGAAGCAACCGTCTACATCCTGGACCTCGGTCGTTCCATGGGCAAAAAGAGAAATGGCCGCGACCAGACTGATCTTGATTGGGCCTTGGAATATGTCTGGGACAAAATCACTACCACTGTAAGCCGACGTTCATTCGGCGATTTAGTGCGTTAGACACGCACGCCACTAGCATTGTCCAAATATCATCACATGATCCAGAGAGCTGTGATTGACAACTTGCTAGGTTGCAACAGGCAGAAAAAGCGCGCTGATGAGCGTTGTTGGCTGTCGCACTGACGAGACGGATCTCGCTGGTATCATAGAGGAGGATGAGGGCTACGACCATATTAGGGTCTTCTCCAAAATAAAGCAGTAGGTTTTGTTCCACCTTACAGGAATTCCTGCAATTTCTTACATACAACAGATATCTCCTTGGAGACATTCGCAATCTCCAAGAACATCTTAAGCCTAGCAGAACCAACAATGGAGATCGTAAGTCTTGCCTGCTATTCGGTATGCCCTTGATTAACACAGACAGTCCTCTCTGCCCTCGCGGTAGCAATACACATGGTTGACACCGCAACCAGGGGTGCCAAGGGAAACCCTCTCAAATACGACCGCAGAATTGTCATTGTGACTGATGGTCGTGGGGAAATGGTCACGGACGATTTGGAGCAACTAACATCAAAGATCAAAGACCCGGAGGCTCCCTTTGAGATCACACTGCTTGGCGTTGACTTTGACGACCCCGACGTTGGCTTCAAGGAAGAGAAGAAAGACCCTCAGAAGGTACTGCTGGTTAACATATCTCATTCTGCCATGGCTAACCAGACCCAGGCTCAAAATGAAGACATATTGAAGAGTTTCATAGAAGATTGTGACGGTAACTTCGGTACCCTAGCCACGGCCATTGACCAACTTCACATACCTCGTCTCAAGGAGACACGGCCTGTCCACAGCTACAGAGGATCGCTGACTTTGGGCGACCCTACCAGGTACGATGCTACAATTACCATCGATGTTGAACGATATCCATGTACCATGATAGCAAAGCCACCAACAGCAAGTTCGTTCGTCATACGGACAGACACCACTGGCTTATCAGGTCCGGTTATTGAATCCTCAGCTGCTGGAACTGATCAAGATCAAGCAGCAACCGATCTCTCAGCAGTGCGAAATCAGCGCGTGTATCAAGTGGAAAGTCAGACCGAACCCGGTGTCAAGAAGGATGTAGAAATGGACGAGTTGGAGCGGGGTTACGAATACGGCAGGACGGCCGTTCACATTTCCGAGTCCGACATGAACGTTGTCAAACTGGAAACACAACAAGCAATGGAGCTAGTGGGTTTTGTCAGAGCTGAGGATTTCGAACGTTTTCTCCCTCTGAGTCGGACAAACTTCATTGTCCCACAAAAGGCCAACCAGCCTGCTCAATTGGGCTTGTCATCCTTCATACATGCGCTCTACGAAGCTGATTGTTACGCAGTCGCAAGGCTGGTTGCAAAGGATCTAAAGCCCCCAGTCTTGCTACTGCTTGTCCCGCGCATCGAGCCAGAGTGGGAGGCTCTGGTAGACGTAGAGCTTCCTTTTGAAGAAGACATGAGGCGGTACAAATTCCCACCGTTGGATCGAAAACTCACAGTCAGCGGTAAAGTTATAATGGAACACAAGGATCTGCCCACTAAGAATCTCGTCGACGCAGTGAGCGACTACGTCGATGCCATGGACCTTTCAACCTTTGGCCGTGACGAAGATGGGAACGAAGACGAGTACGCTAAACCAGAAGATACATTCTCGCCTCTTGTCCACCGCATCAACCAAGTTATACGATGGCGAGCGACACATTCCGACCCCAGCCTGCCGATCCCTGATCCACCGGAAATTCTTACCAAATACTCTATGCCACCTGCAGAACTTGTTGCGTCGGCACAAAAGCAACTTAATGCCGTCAAGCAAGCGGCAGACTTGAAGAAAGTACCACCAAAGGTCAAGGGCCGAGGGAAGCGCCAGCGTACCGAGCGTGATAAGCCTCTTTCAGGTTTGGATGTCGACCAACTCTTAGGCAATCCCAAACGCATCAAGATTGAATCTAACAATCTGATTCCCTCATTCAAACAAGCTCTCTCTGCTTCCGACGACTTGGACGCTATCCAAGACGCCGCCGATGGCATTGCAAAAGAAATCCGCTCGCTCATCAGCAACAGTGTTGGTGACAACGCATACCAACGGGCTCTTGAGGCTATTCGTGTCATGCGTGAAGAGCTCACTGAGCTTGAGGAGCCGGAGATCTACAACGCATTCATCAAGCAATTGAAAGAAGATATTTTAGGTGGGAGGCTAAACGGTAACCGTAAGGAGATGTGGTGGAGAATCAGAGGCAACCGGTATGGACTTATCGATTCCAAGAGGAGCTATGTCAGTCCTGTTACAGAGGACGAGGCGAAGAGGTTCTACGAGGTCTGAAGCGGTCGTGTCATGTTCGTCTACTGAGCTTGAAGGATATGTGCAACAACGATGGAATGCACATGCACGGTGATATTACGGCAACTAAAAATACGTTTAATCTCGCTTTGAACCCTGCATCTTTCTTTCTTACCCGATACTGTTTCAAGGGACAACGGCTTTACGGTCAATTGGTGCGCTACTACCTAAAGGGCTGAGGATTTTGGCCCCCACGAGAAAAGATTGCGAACTCAATGCAAGCGACACGACTTGTGGCTTTTCGACCTTTTTTGGTGGAGCCTCAATGCGCGCACGTCCAATAGGGACATGTTGGCTTCAGCCTCACACACGTGTAACCCTCGCCAGCTGACTCTAGCTGCGCCTCAGCTGTGCGACCTGTCTGGCGCGTATTGACGTCTAGACCTCCCCCTCCTCTCAATATCAATCCCAACACCATTCTACGTGGATACAGCGAAGCACACAGCGTACTTCGTGATGTAGAGCAACTGCAGACACTCAACATGGACATCCCGCACACAGAACACGGAAATTCACCCCCAACGCCAGGTATAACCATCTCGAGACCAGGAGATTATGCTTCGCTGCCCACCAGAAACAGTGATGAGTCCCTTTACGATATGAGCGACAGGCGCTCAAGATTCCAAGAAGATGTCGATTCCGGCCTAGGCATCCACATGCACTCGCTAGGATCGCAAAAGTCTCCGGATGTTGCATATTCGGCTCTAGATGCAGATGGGAAGCGACCTAGCGTGTTCTCTCGGGCTTCAAGTACGGATCCTATGACACAAAGGCTTATTGCTCATCGCGCTACACAATCAGCACAATGGCGTATACACTGGCGCCCTCCGGCACTAATGGTTTTTGCTTTTCTCATGGGAATTGTTTTCGCCTTCTTCCAACATCTTCTATACACTGCCCTGCATCACAAGGAGGAAGCCGATGAAAACAAAAAGTTCCGCTTGGTTCTCTACGGCCGTGTGCTAGCCTACCTCTCCAAGGTCGCATTCGGAGGGTGCGTTGTTCTGGTCTTTCGACAGCGACTATGGAGGACGTTTCGAGAGCGGGCATTGACGGTGCTCTCCATCGACCAGCTCTTCGGCGCAACAGAAGATCCTTCTCTCTTTGCAAATTGGGAAGCCATTACCAACGCTCCTATTCTTGTGTTCGTTGCTGGGATCATCTGGCTGATACCCTTGGCAACAATCATCTTCTCACCTGGCGCCCTCACCTTCGGCACCTACCTTGACCTTGAGGTCGTCGACATTGTAGTTCCGACGCTCAATTTTTCCATGGAATCCACTAAGAACTGGCGTTATCCGGTTAAAATGGCTGACGGAAGCAACAAGAAATCTGTAATGTATTACAACACCACTGATATCGCTGGCACGGCACCGGGTTGGTTCGATTACTATGACCAGCCATCTGCAGAGTTGGTACGGATCGGAGTTTTGCTGGCATACAGCAACATGGACCATCCAAACACCCGGCAAGGCGCTCGACAACAGGCTTGTGGAGGACAATACAACTGCACCTACGAACAGACATTTAACGGACCCGGTTATCAATGCGAGGAGATCAATGATGAGAACAGACTTCGCGAATTGGACGCACCATTCAATCATAGCAGAATAGCCCCCCAAGGCCGCGCTGCCTACTTTGCTGAGGTGGATATTGGGGCCTACAAACGACCACAAGCTGAAGAGTTCCGCAAAGGGCCTGGTGGACTGCCTCTTGGGGAAGCACCTGAAGGTTTGGGTGTTTTCAAGTCGGAGCCCATACTATGGATCGGTTACACCACCAATTCGACGGAAAGACTCTCTCCTGATGACCCTCTTGCAAAGCACTGGACTCATCGCTTTGATTCTCACATTATCCGATGTGAGCACATGGAGACCAGGTACACGGTGAAGTGGAACTTCACCGAGCCGTTCTTCAAGTCGATGGCGAAGCGAGAATATCTTACTCCAATTGTGGATACAAATTTCACTCGTGGCCTCTACGGTCTAACAAACCACACGCGAGACCCTGAGCCAGCAACAAACTACATCAGCCCACGCGATGATGTGGGTCTTTACAAGAAAACAGCCGCCTATCATGCTCTAGGTTCCATGTTCCGGGGATTCCTTCGCGGACACGTCGATCTCGAACCTCCTCTTCCGGGACCCTACTATTCTCAAGTCTATTCCGACGTCACCAAGACACGACTGGTGCACAAGAACGCAGAGCCCAAGAAAAATCTAGGGACTGAGATTGAATCCTTCTACTCCGACATGGTCCTCTCGCTGTTCTCTGCGCCGGAAATGCTCGCCGTTAACGAAGAGAAGCTGACAGTCGAGCGATCGCGACTCCAGTCTTCTTTCGTCTACGTGCCAGAGCGTTTATGGAAGTGCTACATTCCCGTCATTTTCGTCACGTTATGTATACTTCTCTTTGGACTGTTTACCATCTGGGAAGATGGCACGACTTTCTCAGCTGGATTCTCGCGTATTCTCGTCACGACGCGAAACATGACTTTGGACAATATCAGTCGTGGCGCGTGTCTTGGAAATGATCCCTTTCCGATGGAGCTCATGAACACAAGGCTACAATTCGGCGCGCTTGCTGACGGCAGTGATCCTCCTGCATATTCAAGTGGGGAGTACCAAGGTGGAGGTGGAGTTCAGAGCATTGGTCATTGTGCATTCGGTGTTGCATCTGAGGTTGGGCCCATTTACAAAGGCATGCCTTATGCTGGTCTCAACCGCCTCGACAAGAAACGTGTTGCATATTCAGGCATGGAAAGTGGATAGGGGAAAATGTGTAACTAGTATGCCATCTCTAATTGTTGATATAATCAAACAAGACTCTAATCCATTTCTCTTAGCTCTCTCGTCGCCTTTCCCAAACAGCCACTGATTCTCTGCTCGGCCCAGCTTAACAAATACCAATAACGCCATTGACCGGGATATCAATACTCGTCGTGTAACTCGCCGCATCGCTGAGCAAATACACATAGGCGCCTCCAAGCTCCTCCACAGCCGCTAACCGCGGCATACCACCATAGTACTTGAGCTGCTGCTCCCAATCCGGCTGCTGCTCAACCCAGTACGTCATCGCCGTCTTGACCAGACCCGGCGACACAGAGTTGACTCTGATGTTATACTGCGCCCACTCCATAGCAAGCGTATGCGTCATATTCCTGATGCCCGCCTTGGACGCACCGTACGGTGCCGAGGGAACACGCTGTGAAGTCCGTCAGCCACCAGTTTAAACCTCTCCCTCTCTCTCTCCATCGCAAAGAAGAAGAAGAAGAAGACGAAGAAGGGAAAATAGAAAAGGGAAGAAGAACATTACCTTATTCGGCCGATACGACGCCATACTCGCCGTAAAAACAATACTCCCCTTAACCCCTTGCTTAATAAATGCCCTCGCCGCACACCTCGCAGAGTAAAAACTCCCATACAAATTCACCCCCCACAGCTGGTCAATCTCTTCCGTTGTAAACTCCAGTGCGGGTTTGTGCTTTGTACGCCCTGCATTACATACCATGCCGTGTAGCGCCCCCGCTTCTGCAAGCACCTTGTCGATGGCCGCCTGGATCGAGGCTTCGTTTGTGACGTCGGCTCCTAGTGCGAAGAGTTGGTTGGGGTATTTGGAGGCGAGCGTGGTGAAGTCGGTGTCTGGGGTGCCGATGTCGAGGGAGTAGACTGCGGAGGCGCCGTTGGTGAGGCAGCTGTGTGCTATGCCGAGGCCGATGCCTGTGGATTTTTTGTTTAGTTTTTTTTATTGAAAAAATATTGTTGTTGTTTTTTTTTAATAAGGGGGTGTATGGGTTTTTTGGGAAAGGGGGGGGATGATGGGGGAAAGTTACCTCTGTTCGCACCGGTAATAGCAATGACTTTACCTTCCAACTGCACTTTTGTAACGGGTTCGGCCGTTGAACTTGAAGATGCCATGTTGATGTACGCAATTCGTTTTCTTTCTCTCAACTTAATTCTAATTGAGAAAAAAAAACCCCCCGATTAAAGATCAAAATGTATAGAGTGTAAATGTATGCGATAAATCAATGTACCAACACCACCTCATCCCCCCCTCCTACTTATACCTTCCCCCCCTCTCCCCATCTAACCCCCCCATCTCTCCTTCCTTTACCTACATCCCCAATACTTCCCCCCACACTCCCACCCCCACAATTTCCCCCGTCGTAACGAGCATGCACGCAAGCCTCGTACCCTCAGCTTGTGTTCGTCTCGAGGCACAATTCTCGGCCTGCATCGGGGCTAGCCTAGCTTTGGATGTTGGCTGCACAAATCGCGGAATAGTAAAAAGTGCCGAGGATAAGAGGGGATCGTCCCGCATTCCGCCCGTTTTGTGGTCTGGGGTAAAGTAAGGTAAGTGGCTAGTACAGGGGAGCTTTTTGGGAGAGAGATGGGTAAATAGTGAGGAGGAGGGGGCGGGGTAGGTAGAGGGGGGGGGAGGGGTTAAACAGTATAAAATACGAGAGGGGGGGATTTATTTTTGTGATTTAAAAATGTCTTCAGGGTTTTATTTTTTCGTGGTACTGGAATTGTTGATGTAGTATGGAATTTTGCATTTGGGGGTCTGGTTGGTACAAACTTATTTCTGTGCATACTACCGAAAAGGGCTCGGGACGTTGAACCGCGCCTTCTTTCTCGCAACGAGTCCGCAAACAAAGGGGAAAAAAAAGAAGGGCCCGACTTGAACTTTTTTGTAACCTATGTATGTATGTAGTATTTACACTTTTTGTTCTCAACATCCCAAATCCGCCCTAGTGTACGAATGCTTTTAATTGAACACAACAGTCTTCTGTCCATTCAAAAACACACGCTTCTCACTCCACCATTTCACCGCTGCAGCAAGCACCTGGCTCTCGACGTTGCTGCCCTCCTCGACAAGCTGCTTGGGACTCAATGCATGATCGACCCTCGCAACGCGCTGCTCGATAATAGGTCCTTCGTCCAGATCCGCCGTGACGAAATGCGCGGTAGCCCCGATAATCTTGACGCCACGCTCGTAAGCCTGGTGGTAGGGCTTTGCACCCTTAAACGACGGCAAGAACGAGTGATGAATATTGATAATCTTGCCAGACATCTCTGTGCATAGACGGGGTGACAGAACTTGCATGTAGCGCGCAAGCACGACAAGATCGATATTGTGCTGCTTGATAAGATCAAGAATCTGCGTCTCTTGCTGCTCTTTGGTGTCCTTTGTAACAGGCAGATGGTGAAACTCGATACCGTTGTTCTTCGCCAACTCTGCGAATTCGCCGTGGTTCGACACAATGAGCGGCACGTCGACCTTGAGCTGGCCCGACTTGACGCGGAACAAGAGGTCGTTGAGGCAGTGCCCAATTTTCGAGACCATGATGAGGACTTTGGGTTTGGCGTCTACGCGCCGGATTTGGTACGTCATGCTCATTTCAGAGGCGAGCGTCGCCATGCTGGCTTGCAGCGCGGAGACGTCCGAGGCATGGCCAAAGTGCACGCGCATGAAGAAGGTCTTGGAGTCTGGGTCGGAGAATTGCTGCAGATCCAGAATCGTGAGGTTTTCCTTTGCCAGTAGGCCCGTCACGGCGTAAACGATTCCTGCCTTGTCAGGGCATGAAAGCGTGAGGTAGTGGTCGTCGCCTGCCATTTTGGATGTTGAAATCCTTTCTGCAGAGTCGAGTTGTTGAAGGCGAGGAACACTGCTTGCTAGAGAGCGTCTGTTGCCAAAGTGTGACTGTTTTGTAGAAATTTTAGGACATGGGCTTTGCCGAGTTCGGATGACCTCGTTTGGTGCGTAATAGGTGGATGTCCGGACCGCACTTGCGCGGGTCAGTGTGTGGAGTGACCGTGGGTAGGTGCGCACTGAGCGTAGAAACATGTTCGCCTGTTCGGTTCCGTCTCCTTGCCCAAGGAGATTGAGCGCGGGATGGCGAACTTTTTTTAAGCCATGTAAAAGTTAACTTTCCGGTCAAGGTGGCCGAACTCGGCCGGCCAATGGCATCTAGCGTTGTAATAGACGAAGGAACTCTGGCGCTTGTGAAGACTAGAATCTTATTGAACTTTTTTTAATCCTTGCACTCACAGCAAGAGCAAGCCCTGTATGCTCCGAGTAAAAGTATGCTGATATGCCATTGTTTGATTGGGACATACCCTATGCTCAATGGAATCGTTGATTGGACACTACACCATATCCCTTTGAGTCATATAAAAAGCGCAATTAATTTGAGATGCCCCCTGTGCAGACACATGCATACTCCAAACGGTCCCAAATTTTATACACATCTTTATATTTCCTCAACTTAGTCTGATACCACACTAGGGACTTTAACCTTCTCGGCACCCCTCACGTATTAGCCTTATCTCTCAAGCACTTGCCGATATATGATTAGTATAGTCATTTAGGCGAGGCCGATGGTATAATCTGTAGTAGATCAGAACCCTTTCTTTATCCAGGTTTCTCTATTATCTCTCAATACCTACCTTTCGTACACATAAAACGTTATAGGAGTAAGTAAGTTCAGTGATCGCGTAGTTATGCTCAAATTTTCGAATAATCAGAAAGAGTAACTCGGCGCATACTGGTAGAAGTCTAGAAACAATGGCATGTGCTTTGAATCACAGAAGCGCGTTTGCTTTCTCTCCGTCATGGGAATCATTGCCACAAGGGCGCTCAGAGGTAGAAAGATGATTGCATAGATTGTGGTAATGTTGGATAAAGTTATCATTCATACTACTGTCCAAATGATCCATGTCCATAAAGATGAATCATTCTTTTGTGCAAATATTGCTTGAGCGGTGGTTAAACAAGAGCTCTTCGATTAGAGGACTCAAAAGGTAAGTTCGTAATATGACGTTGATGCGGGAAGCTCAAACTTTGTGGGAAAAGGCTTGCCCAAATTTTCCCTCACTACACAACGACTCGATAGTGGTGTGCATTCTTATTTATGATGAACCATTTCAATTGAACATGCACAAGTAAAGTATTCGACATTGCGAAATATATAGCTTCACTCTACATTAGACTCCCTCGAGACTAAACCATGGTAACCCACTTTGATTGTTCCTTCTAGAGGATCACAATGAACATCCTCATAATATGACTTATATTCATACCAGAATGTAATGGTATCCCAACAGCCTACATTACACTTTATTCCAAAGACCCTGGAAACATGGATATAAGACAACAGTGTCCCAAACGCCATCGCTATGCACAAAACTCGCGAAACAACGGCACAAATATCCACCCTATTGTCGCTTCGCTATACACTATCCTCATCCTCTTCGTCACTATCTTCTCTTTCCTCCCACCCCACCATGCGTCGGAGAACACGGTTCTCTTCTCCAAGCTCTTTGCAGCGTCCGCGCAAGCCTGCCTCCACCTCTCCCTGCATTCGTAGTGCGTTCCTTGCGTTTTCCGCTACGCGGCTAAGTCCCGCTTGCCATTCTGCGTGCTCGATCCTGAGACTCATAGATGTAGATCGCTCCTGCTCAAGTAGTGTTTGATAATGCTTGTGAAGTGCGAGGATCGACGATGTTTGGGAATAAGCATATGGGCGCAGCTTGTCAAGTAAAAGAGCCAAGGCGGACTCGTAGTCTGTGAGGAGAGCGGAGAGGGATGTGTTGGTTGCGGTGAGAGAAGCGATGGTCGATTGGGCTGATGTGAGCTGGTTTTGGAGATGTGTCTGGGTCGCTGCTACGAAGAATGTTAGAATCGCGATTTGGTTGCTGTGAAATGGCAGCTAACATACCGTTGATCTCTCCATTCACTTCTCTCATACTCACACCATTTCCCCTCGGTGCGGAGCCACCGCCAACCTCTCCGCCCTCCTCCAAAGCAGCCCTTCCTTGTATCGCAGCAACCCCTTCTACAATACCTCTTGTCTGCGCCTTGTTCTCCTCCAACAGCTGGCTCAACTGCTGTACCACAGCCCAGAGGTGGTTCATGTCCGTCTGCTGACCACCGCTTGGCAGCCCGTTGACCATTGGAATGCCGTTTTGGCCGCCGCCGTTCACTTGCGATCCTGCTATGCTACCAGCTTGCGAGTGTGAGGGTGAGGGTGGTGGGCGCGATTGGTTATGTTGTTGCTGCTGCTGGGCTTGTTGTTGGGAGGACTCAAGGAAAGAATAGTTGTTCATGACGAAGTCAGGTGTTCGTGTGGAGGGGGTCAGACTTGTGCAGATACCGGTTGGGTTTGGGTTGGCGTGCGGCGTAGGCCGACGGCGTCGGTAGACTTGCGGATAGCCACTTGTCTGATTGGACTGGGAGACCGCGCCTCAGAATGAGCGCGTAAATGCGGCTGATAGTTGAGGCGACACTAAAATCCAATGCCTGGTATGTATGCGGGGTGTCTTGCGGGGTCAAAGCGAGCATTCGTGTTGCGGCTTCGCGTTGGGGGTGGACAGGGTCTACCTAAGTCTTGCACAAAAACGCGCTAGTGGCTTGGCGGTGTACAGACGTATATGTGCTACCATAGAGTCAAAGCCACAACTACAGGAGAGAAGTGAAGGGCCAGGAAAGAAGAGGTTATGATCAGACAGGGCATTTCCAAAGGAACGCTAGTATGTAGATTTCTCGAAGAGCAAAACTGGTTACCACCCAGTTCTGTCAACACCAGTCGACTACCCAAATGCACGCATGCTCTAAATCAACGTATCCAGTCTCCATTGCATATTATCCAATTACAGAGTAGCTAGCGCGAATCTGGTATAAAAATGGCACGGTTGTACAGATGCTCATCGATCTGGCAATACATATCGCCTCTCGACACTCATCTCACGATCCGCTTCGTCCTCGCCCTCAAACCTGAGCCTCACCAGGTTCTCAACCGTGTCTCCTTCCCTCCCACCATCTTCCTTCTTCACTTTCCCATCAGCTTGTCTCCATGTAGCCACAACTTCCGCTTTATAAAAGGTGGTTGTGCCTGGATAAAGAGCGAGTACATTCTTGCCCTTGGGAAGGTCAGGCAGCGTCGCGTTAGAGGATTGGGGCGGAATTGGAATCAGATGATTGACCGAGGCGCGATATGGCGCAGATGGGGTTGGAGGATCTGGGTCGGCATCTATAATTTCATATCGACGCTGCTTGCCTTCGCCGATGACTGACGTCACGCGACAGAGGATACCTTCACCCTCAAAAGACATGGACGAGGAGGAGGATCGGTTTTTGGCGTTATTGCGGTAGAGTACCTCAGTCTGCGGGGTAAGGCGCGGTCGAACTTCTGGAATTTGTCAGCCCCCGTTGATATCGAGTATGATGGGATGACGGCTATGTAGCGGATGCTAAACGGGAAAGTTACATGGTGGCATGAGCACACAGAAAAGAGGTATGAGATGGGACGAGGTGAAATTTTGAGCTTGCCTATCCGACTACAAACCTCGAACAAGCCGAAAGGAAAGATGCCAAAGCGGGTATCATCTGTCGTCTAGAAAGAACGCCGAAAGCGAAGGAGCTCAACGCTTGGTCTTGTATTTGATCTTGGGCTTGGGCTTGGAAGAAGGAAGAACCATCTTACCCTTACCCGAGTCATCCTTGTCGTCTTCCATCTTGACGCTGCCCTCTCTCGCAATGGGGACTGACCCCGCCCTGCTGCCACCAGACTTGGCAACCAGTCGGTCTTTCTGGCTGCTGATGATAACTTTGGGGCTAGGGCCTCCGGGGCTATCTGCAGTCAGACTGTCGCGGTCATCGATGCTATCGGTCAGCTTTCGCTTGCCCTGGCGGTCGCGCCCAGACTTCCCATGCCCAACGCTAGTAGATCGTGAAGCAGATGGCTGAGCTTCTTCAGAATTGCGCAAAGCAGCAAGGAGAGTCATTTGTGTATGAACGTCGTTACCACCTTCGATAGGCTGGAGGAGAGCCTGGACCTCTTCCACCTTGCGGATGTTGTCTCGTAAGAGGTCCTCCAAATCATCGTCAATACGGGCTGAGCGTTCCTCTCCACGGTCTGCTCAAGTTAGTGCTGGTGCTGCCACGCCAGCTTCTCTAAGCTCACCTGTACGAGCCGCCTGCTCTGCTTGGAGAGCAAGGATCTTTTCCTGGAGAAGATCTGATTCTTTCTGCGACACGTTAGTAGAGGGTGACGGCATGAGGTAGCTTGATGCGGTGTGGCAAAAGGAAGCATGAACGGCAAGGTTTTGGAGCTTCACGCCTCGCAACCATTCTGTCCACAAGGCTATCATAGGCCATTGGGCTTTTGTCACGTCCGTCCCTCATCGTTGATCATGAGCTTGGTATACATGGTGCTGGATCGAGCATAGCCAATGGACTCTCGAGAGTCGCGTAGCTTGCGGGTTACATGGCGCGTTGTGAATACAGTCAAAAACTTGCAAACAAGAGTGCTGAGGATGCATTGATTGAGATGTCTCATACCATGAGCTGGTCAACCCTTCGGCCATCAGATTTGATCGAGTTCCAAATCACCCGCTCCTCATCGAACTCCTCCTTGAGTTGGCCGCGGGGCCTGCTTCGAGCAGCCATATTGACGGAAGTTGTTCTCCGCCAGCTCCCCGGCACGTTCTGTGTTACCGGACGCGCTGCAGGCAGGTCATGTGGGAGCGGTGTGGTTTGGCGGAGGGAGAGTGAAAGAAGCGGGAAATGCAAACGAGAGCACGTGTAGTTGATTGCGATGCAGGGTAGGAGCCGCGCTAGCAACGGAAGAGGGGTAGGGTCTCCATGAGCTTAATCCGACCAGCCTTGTGACGATGCTTGGGGGACGCCAATTAGCGGCACAAGTGGGCCTGCCAAAGATCCGCTGCCACGCATCACTTTCCTTGACCACAATCTACACACAATACAAGGCCTTGCCAAAATGCGGAACCCACTTATCAGATTAGAATGCGGTAAGCAGAAATTGAAAACAGGAAAAAATAACACAAATTGATTGTCTTGCAGGCGTGAACAGCTACGACTGGGGTACGCAGCCCCGCATCATAATTCCATCAGCGGTATGCTGAACCAGCCCAGGGAAAGTCGGTAAAGACTCGGCCGCTGCCAAATTCCACGCTGCGACAGCTTCGGAATTCTCAATCGAAGAAGAGAAGCCATACGCTGAGGTATGCAATCAATGCGGCATTGTCGTCGACGCGTTGCTCACCGTTGTAGTTGTGGATGGGCACCCACCCGTCACTTCCCTCAAAAGATCTCGAGACGAAGCGAAGCCTCTTAGAACTTGTCCAAGAGAACCAGGCGCTACTTTCCACCGAAATCGCTGAGCGATATGAGAACAAACTACCGTTCCTGTTCAAGGTCCTGTCCATAAACAAGGCCTTGAGCATACAGGCACATCCCAACAAGAAGCTTGCCGAGCAGTTGCATGCGAGCGACCCCAAGAACTACCCAGGTCAGTCTTCATGCAGCAGTCTTGACTTGATACTAACTCTACAATTCAGATGACAACCACAAGCCTGAAATGACCATTGCGGTCACACCGTTCGACGGACTCTGTGGCTTCCGTCCCCTTGCCGAAATTACGCACTTCCTCAAGACCGTTCCTTCCCTACGCAAACTCGTCGGCGAAGAAGAAGCGACCAAGTTTGAGGAGACTATCAAGGGAAAAGAGACGTCAGACAAGGAGGAAGATGTGCAAGCAAATAAGAAGGCTCTTCAGTCCGCCTTCACAAAACTCATGAACGCAGACAAGGACGCACTGGAATCCGCAAGCAAAGAACTCATCGAAGCCGCAAAGTCTGAGGGCGAAAACTTTGCCGGCGGCGGTCCACCCTCCAACACAGGCAAAGAGCTCGCCGACCTCGTCATCCGCCTCGACTCGCAATTCCCTGGCGACATTGGCCTCTTCGTTCAATTCTTCCTCAACTACGTCAAGCTCGATGTAGGCGAAGCCATGTTCCTTAAGGCAGACGATATCCACGCCTACCTCTCTGGCGACATCATCGAGTGCATGGCCAGCTCCGACAACGTGGTGCGCGCGGGCTTCACCCCGAAATTCAAGGACGTCGACAACCTCACCAAGATGCTGACGTATAGCTATGCCCCTATTAGCGAGCAGAAGATGGAGCCCAAGGATTACTCGCGTGTGAGGTTGAATGCGCCTGCATACAGTTCCAACTCGAGCAATATGCTGTATAACCCCCCGATCCCAGAGTTTGCGGTTGTGCGCACGGCGCTGAACCGGGTTGGCTCTAAAGCGACGTTTGATCCTATTGATGGACCCAGCATCATTCTCTGCACAAAGGGCAAAGGAACGATCAGTGTTGGACCTAAAGAAGAAGAGTTGAGCGAGGGTTTCGTTTACTTTGTTGGAGCCACGGCTGAGGTAATCATCAAGAGCGATGTGGATGCTGGGGATGAAGAAGGTGCAGAAGGCCTTGTGACATTCAAGGCTTTCTGTGAGATCGAGGATGACAAGGGCAAGCTTTGAAGAATGGTCTCTTCGAGCATACATACGACTGACACGAACAAAGGGAATGATTGATGAAGTGCCATGTCATTGGGATCCTTAGAGTACATAGTTATCATAGGTATCTCCATAAAAGAACGCCGCCGTCGCCACCACTATCCTAGGGCTCTGTTGAAATGCCCAACGTCTACATGCGCTATGCCCTTAGAAACCGTCATCGATGCCCTTGCTCTTCTCCAACGCACGTCTTTCATCGTTGATAGGCCACCACCACTCGTGTATCTCTACAGAGCATTTGCCGGGTGCCTCATCCCAAGGTTTCGGGCTCAAGATGTAGTGCACATTCTTGACTTCTTCATCCTTCCATATAGCATCGTGTACACCCTTTGAGCGCATTGTCTTGAGCGCATTGTAGGTATATGGCAAGGCGACCCAGCGCCCGTTGAAGAGGTCACCGAGGAGAGACTGATCGGCGAAGTCGTACGACATGGACGTTTCGTTGGCAAGTTGTTTCAGAATGAGGTCATACGTGGCCTTGGAAGGGTTGACGACCTGCAAGCCTCCGTTGGGCATGCGAAGACCGGCTGTAGAAGGTGCACCGGTTTTCTGAGCGGCATCGGGATCGCCATGTTGCGAAGTGAATGCGCAGTTTTCGGGGATCCTAGTCCAACGTTAGCCCAACGGTTTGCGCAAGTCGTGGATATGAGGGGAGACGTACCAGTCCTTGGGGTAATGTGGCTTCTTGAGGGGATTGCACACACAGGCATGGCTCGCTGCAAATACCCTGTCGCCTTTACCTCCGGTACTCGGTGGATCCAACTCCAACTCCATCAGCTCATCCATGTTCTTCAGCACCAGCATGTCGCTGTCGAGCTGGACGACCCGGTCATACTCTTCCAACGAAAATGGTGTCAGTTTACTCCAGCAGTCGTAGAAGCGCGGGTCGTTGGTGAAGTCCTTGTTGACCGTGGGTAGCAGGTACTTGACATGCTGTTTGGGAATGCCGCGCTCATCTAGCGCCTTGTGGCCTTCAGCGGGGAAAGTATCGGTGTATAGTGCGACAAGCGGGTATTTCGAGCCGTGCTTCTTCAGACTGTAATCGAGGGTGAGGAGGCCGGTGAGGTATGCCGTGTTAGTGATCAGGGTGGTCCATACTGAGATGTGTTATTTTTAACAGTCACATGTTAGACCAAACCTAACATACCTTTCTTCGACTTCGTCCCCGCTGGTGTTGTACTAGGTGTTTCGGTCGCGTTCTGCATCGTTGACATGTATACGTGTTAGACGCGTCGATGCAGTTGGCGCAATGTGTTAAGTATTGATAGAAAGACTATCCGATTAGTAACAAGATTTAATTGCGCCATCTTCGGTCTGTCTATGACTGCAGGTTTGTTTGGAGGGGTCGTAAGAGCCGCTAATCCAAGTAGTAACGATCGTACCAATTCAGGTAGCTTGGGACCCTGGGAATCGAAGAACGGTCCGACCTTAGCCGATCTCCGGTCCCTCTCGAGATCGTCACCATAAGTGTATCGCGGACGCTTGTGCGTTTCCGACTGCAGGCTACCGACGCGCTGCACAAGATATGGGATGAGGATTAGCACACATCGAGGTGCTGATGCTTTTCCACCGATATCTCTTCTTGGCCTTGTTCTTTGAGGCATGATTCTCATATTTCACTGGACAATAGCGACGCGACAATGGCTACTACAGCGCTGAAACCCGCCGGCATGAAGCCCGCAGCAACGGCTCTTATCGCGACCTCCGACGAACCTCAGAAGTCGCCTAAACATTACCGCGGCTTCGTAGCTGGTGTCTTCAGTGGCATTGCAAAGCTATCAGGTGTGACAGTCTGCACCTGTTGCCTATGCCCTTATCTAACTAGAGATAGTCGGTCACCCATTCGACACAGTCAAAGTGCGACTGCAAACGACAGAAAAGTCGCATTTTAGGGGTCCGGTAGATTGTCTCATGCAGACGTTGAGAAAGGAGGGCTTCGCAGGATTGTACAAAGGCGCGACCCCGCCGTTGGTGGGGTGGATGTTTATGGACTCGATGTATGGCACTTTCGACCTGAAACTTGACGGATTGCTAATGGCACGTAGTATGTTAGGATCTCTCAGTGTATATCGCCGCGTCCTCAATGATCGTGTCTTCAATCCACCCTCGTCTGTTCGATTTGGCGAGCAGCAAGGCAAGCTCCCCATGTACGCCCATGGCATGGCAGGCACAATGGCAGGTTGGACAGTATCATTTATTGCAGCGCCGGTCGAACACATCAAAGCCCGTCTGCAGGTTCAATATGCAGCAGATAAGACAGCGCGCCTCTATTCTGGACCAATTGACTGTCTGAAGAAGATATACAAGGGTCATGGCGTAAAGGGTGTGTACCATGGCCTGAGCGCGACGCTGCTATTCCGTACATTCTTTTGTTTTTGGTGGGGGACGTACGACTTGTTCACTAAACAATTCCAGAAACACACAAATCTGTCAGCGCCTGCAGTCAACTTCTGGGCAGGCGGTCTTTCAGCGCAGATTTTTTGGTTGACGAGCTATCCAAGCGATGTGATCAAGCAGCGCATCATGACAGATCCGCTTGACAATAGGAGGTTTCCCCGATGGAGAGACGCCGCTCAAACAGTGTACAGAGAAGGAGGGTGGAGGGGATACTGGCGCGGCTTTGTGCCATGCTTTTTACGTGCCTTTCCGGCCAATGCCATGGCTCTAGTGGCGTTTGAGGGTGTGATGAGGAGTCTGCCAGAATGAAGGGGTAGAAAACAATTGAGTGGCGATGGATCGTCTGAGCAATGAGGGAGTAGCTGCCAGAATGTAGCGGTGTATGCTTGCCTGGAGGAACACGATACCCATGATATATATAAAAAATAGCCAAGCCGCAACACTCTTTGCTTATCTTGACCCACGCCAAGTTCCACTGTTAATTGCATTTTTTTTCTGTTACACTGCCGGAGTTAAGCTAGGCTCCTCGGCGTTGCTGGCGTGGTGATTGATTCATGCATGGAATAGCCATTGTGTCTGTTGAATCATGGCGTGTCCATGTCGAAGACGCGGTCTTGAGCAACGCCTCGTGGTTCTAGTATAGAGCCGATAGGATTAGCTCGAAGGTTAATGCGTATGAGGTAATGGCCCAGCTTCGGTATAGGTGCTTGTTTGGATAACTTTCCCGTGTGGAGCCGCACATGATGATATAAGACGTGTTTTTGGTTAGCGGGCGACATTGCTACTGCAGCGTAGCGGGTCGCAACGGCTGAAGCAGACGCAGGCATTACGATGGAGGCTTTGTGCGACTAGCCACGAAGGGGAAAGAAACAAAGAAGCCGGTGTATCGGCAAGGCCGTGTAAGCAGAGCGGCGAGTTGACGCGGCGTGAAGAGCAGCGAGCGAATGGCTGCTGGAGGCGTACAGGCATGGAGACAAACCATTGGTGTGTGTGGGGCAGAGGTCGTGGGTTCGGAGCGTGTACTGAAGTAGGGGTACATATGTATTGTATATGTATATCTGTATGTGCGTCTATGTACTACGGCATGTCTGTATAGGCAATCTCAGGAGTAGCGCCGCGTACCTGCATCTGCCGGCACACTGGCCACACAGGAACGGCGCACACGGGGGCCCAGTATGTCGCAATCAAACGCAGGCACCCAAGCAGAGCAGAGGGCGGGGCCCCCTTTTTGCGTGCATTTGGGGCGCTGAAGATGGCGATGGTGGTGCGGCGAGAGAGAATGGATGGACCTGTCAAGAGCAAGGCCGTTGGTTGCGCACGGATGTTTCGTCGGCTGGAGGCTCTCTGGGATTTGCGGCCTGCTTGCCTCTGGTTTCACTCCTGACCGGCTTGAAACCTTCATTTTAGGCACACACACGCCCGCGTCCACGACGCCATATCTATCTCTCTCTCTCGCGCCCCGTCCCGTCTTGTGCCGTCCCCAGTACAGTCTTGTGTTTTTCTCTTTCCACCACCACCTTTTCCTCTTCCTCTTATCTTCCGCTTGCTCTGCCTCGTTGCAAAGCACAAACACGTCTCCCACGCCCCGGCCTACCCAATCCCTCCCGTTCGCCTTCAGCTGCTGCCGCCGAGACGACAACACCGCCGCCACTCCCTGCCTCGTATACCGGCTACTTACCACCTGGCAAGCCCCTCCCCGCACACTGCCGACGTAATCCCCACGATCACGCTGCCACAATGGGCGCGTCCATATCCAAGGCCATGGCCAAGATCTTCGGATCAAAGGAGATGCGGCTGCTGATGCTGGGCCTCGACGCCGCTGGAAAGACGAGTATGTTGGCAGCATCTGCAATGTCCGCCCAATGCCCAAACCCGGCTGACTAGAACCTCGCAGCCATCCTTTACAAGCTCAAGCTTGACCAAGATGTCACCACTATCCCCACTGTCGGCTTCAACGTCGAGACCGTCACATATAAGAATACCAAGTTCAACGTCTGGGACGTCGGCGGCCAAGACAAGATCCGCCCGCTGTGGAGGCATTATTTCTCTGGTATGTTGGGCCGTCACGGCACCGTTCCGGGTAGGCGAGTAAACATGCGCGCACGCGACAGTGCCGCGCATGTGTCGCCCTGTCCAGATTGATGCTGTGCAGCACTCGACATGCGAGCACCCGTGCTGACGTGACGCCACAGGAACCCAGGGACTCATCTTCGTCATCGACTCCAACGACCGCGCCCGTATCGAGGAGGCAAAGACCGAACTCACTCGCATCATCCAGGACAGGGAAATGAAGGACGCACTGTTGCTGGTATTCGCCAACAAGCAGGACTTGAGCGGAGGTGCGTACATGAAATTCACTATCACCAGAATCAAATTGCTAACCCTAGCCAGCAATGCGACCCAAGGAAGTATCCGATCTCCTACAATTAGACAAGATTGCCAAAGACCACGTATGGAAAGTAGAGCCCAGCTGTGCGACAACAGGCGAGGGTATTTTCGAGGGACTGGTAATTTCCACCCACCACTTAATCTCCCGGCATCTTGCTAACACGACTCAGGCATGGCTCTCCAACAACGTAAAGCTGCCACCGGGCGCCAAGTAGACGATTTGGCCAGCATCATTCCTCCCCCATACACTCTGATTGTTGTACGACTGCATGCGCTCCTCTACTTGCTCTGCCTCTTCCTGCATATACCCGGTTTTTTCTTTTCTTTATCGCACTCTATCGCCTTGTAATCTTCTAATCCATGGCTACTTCATATATAAAGGGTGGTCAGGTCTATTGGGGGGCTCTCTATTTCTTATCTCTCTATCGTTGTCTCTATCTGTGTGTGTGCAAGTGCAATCAGGAATGTACAAACTAGACAGTATTTATCTAGTTGTTGTGCCACCTCTCTGTGTGTTTGCATGTTTTATTCATAGCAAGCGACTTGATTTCCACATTGTTAGATTTCTGTATGTGTGTGACATGTCTTTTTTCTCTATTCGACCTGAGTCGTTCTTTCCAACTAATCTGAGCCATTCTTCACGTGATGACCATTCTCTTCTCCGCTCCTTTCCACGCTTCCACCTCACACTTGCAAAAATGGACACTTCAACCCCCTTCTTCCCCCCCTTTTTTCTATCTTCTTTCTTTTCTCCTGAAAAAAAAAATCAAATATCAACGTTTTCGTTTTTTTCTTAGTAAAAGTAGAGAGTTTTGCTTTGCTTATTCTTCGGTCCAGATTGCAGACACCGACATCTTCCGGAGATGACGGAAAAAAGACGTCACATACCGAACAGAATCTATGAAGATTTCAAATGTTTTATTTTATTTCGAGAAAAAGCTAGTGTGACAAAAGCCCACCCATTTTCAAATCGTGTGCTTATACACTTACTCTTATGTGCTAATAAACCGCCAGTATCCCATGCAAGAAAGATATTGCAGATACGGCTAATGTCTTTTCCTATTCCTGAGCTTGCGCTCTTTCCTTCCTATTGGGCCCAGAAAAACAAAACACCAGGAAAATGAGCGCTGTTATATGCAGACAATACAAAGTGAAAAACAAACAAACAAACAGAAACAAGATATCTTGTGCCAGTAGCATCACACTCTGTTGCACAATCACCTCCACTGGCCCTGGCTCAGCTTCAGCAGACCCTCGACACAACCAGCTTCTTCAGCTGAATTGATGCTCGAACGCCCGCTTGCACTGTCGCCGCCCATAAACTGCCGTAGTTCATCGTCTTGCTCGGGATCAACGACCAGTTTCCCAGTGCCCCTCCTTTCCTTGGCTAGCATTGCACCTAGACTTGATGCTTGTGACATCAACTCTATGTTCTCCCCGAGGATTTGACGAGCACCTCTTGAAGCTGGAGGCGTAGCAGCAACTTGTCGATCGCGACGTACCGCTTTGGACGCGTTTGGCTCCCAGTTCTCCTTGTCGCTCTCTGTTGGTGGCATCTCGTCTGATTCGGTGCTGTCGCCGCCTCTTTTGTAGTTGGAATACTCGATCTGCGGGATGCGACCACTGACTGTCGAAGCGCGTTGCATGGAACCACGCGACTTCTTCACTAGCGGACTACCAAGCACCTTGTGTAAGCTGTGACGCGTGAGCGGACTACTGTTTTGACGCGCTTGGTTTTGAGCCAGTATTCTTCGGTTCGCGCGAAGTATGCCTATCGCGTCTGCTGCACTTCCACTCTCTTCTTGTTCTGCACGCGCAGTAAGACTTGTTGTAGACCGGGCTTCAGGATCGCACCAAAACTCCCATGCACGCGAGTCTCTACTCCTCCCAACGCTCGATCCTGTCCTTGGTAGCTTTGGGCTTGGCTCTCCTCGTGCAGCAGCAGCCAATCTATCGTTCAAGCCTGCTGCGCTGTAACTTCGTCGAAAGCCAGCCGCAGCACGAGAAAAAGAACATGGAGTCTTCTTCGATTTGGGCGGTGAAGGCGTCTTATCTAAGTCGGTGACGATGCGGGCGGTACCATTTTCGTTTGTCGATAAGCGCATAAATGAGTGTGTGCGTTTCAGTGGACGTGAAGGGGTCTTTGTTGAGGCTTCGGGTGATTCCAGGGGCCTGGGCGGAGCATTCGGGAAGGTGATGACTTCAGGGGTGTAGTCTTGTAGGCATCGGACGAATGAGGCACTGCGGCGGTTGGAAATCCATGATGTGCGTGATTGTGTGGTAGCTTGTGACAATGGTACGGCTTGCTGAGAGTTGGTGGTCTGGGGAGGAGCTATCCCTGTCTGTGCTTCGGCTGAAGGCTCTACAGGTGCTTCGTTTGCGTTCTCTGGCTCAACAGCCGGGGAGATAGCTGTGTCGATGGTGCGCGGTTCTGGGATGGTTTCGTCGGATGTCAGTTCGGGGGTTGCGGGCTGCTCTGGTGGATCGGACTTTGGGCACTCGTCCGACTCGTGCGGCTCCAGCGCGTTATCGATACGGCGCGCAACAGCCACTACTTCATCCTCGGTGGGCGGGTCCGACATGGTTGATGAAGACGACATGAATGATGCGGTGGAAGACGGCTCGAGAGGCCGCGAGCGACGACGGTCGTTCTGGCGTTTATCTGGAGCAAGGCATGATCAGGATATGTTTCAATGTTGGTGCAGCTTCGCGCGGCACACGACAAACGCAGGCTGCTGCAAGGCAGCAGCAATATGCGCAGCGATGCGAGGAAGGAATGACTTACTCTGAAACCAGATCTAAGAACACAAGTTAGCAAGACCGCGTATACTCGTGACGTGGTGCAATGTGGGTCGTACCTGGACCTCTTTTTCGCCAAGCGCGACCTTTTTTACAATTTCTAGGCGGGCAGCTTTGCTGGGCTTGGGGTTCTTCAGGTACTCGGACTTGAGTATGTCCTCGTCTTCCTTGCTGCAAGCGGGCGTGGTCAGCGGCGATGCCATGTTGGAGTGTCGCTTGCCCGCGGGGTAGTAGGCCGAATAGCTCCCGGGCGGTAGGCCGCGCACGAACCAGCGCGCGTCGAACGAACATGGCGAGTATATGTCGAACATGGGCCGCTGCCAGATGGAAGAACAGAAAGAGGAGGAATTGGCTACGTACCTTGTGCGTCTTCGCTTCTGACGAGCGAGAGCCTTGTTGTCGACGTCTGGAGGCATGTGATTTGCAACTGTTTCCTGCGAATGGACAAGAAAAGCCAATTGACCACTGAAACTTGCGCGTCTAACCGTGGGGAGACGCGATGACGCAGGCGACGAAAACGAGGGCAGAGGCGACGAGTAAGTCATGGTGAGCGGGCAGCACCGGGTGTGGAGAGGAAAGAAGAGTATTTTTCAAGAATTGGCCAGCATGCAGAGGTTATAGAAAGAACAACGCGCGCAATATGGTGGCAGGAAAGGGTCGTGAGAAGCGCGTCTTCCCGTCGCGTGCGTATCAGATCAGATTGGTCCGAGCCGGGCGCTTGCCTAGCTATGTCGTGCAGCCCACCTTGCCCCAAGAACGAACACGCCGTCTGTGCACACACTCGCCCACCAGCCTCACGTCCAAGGTCTATCCCATCCTGCAGATCGTCACGTATAGCCAAGTACATGCACGACCGTCGCGGGGCTACTTGGCGACATAGTCGCGACGCGCTTCGTATGGTGCATATATGCGCTCATTCCTCGCTGCTCTCCCTGGCCTCTTGCGCGTTGCTTTTTCCACCGTTCTCTCAGCCTTATCCGAAGAACCCTGGCCAGTTGTGCGCGTGCAGAAACAATCATCTCGCGACATGGTAGTTGTGAAGACTTGTGCTCGACTCGTCAGCATAACGACGCGCATACCGGCATCCAACAATCAAAATATCGAGACAAGGAGTCCAGTAAGCCATCCATGGCACCCCAACGCACAGGGCGACTACTTTGCCTACAAAAGCGGCACGGTTGGTTTCAGTACCGTTCGCGAAACACGTCGGCACGTGACATGTTAACCCAATTAAGCCCCCTCCCCACGCCGCCTCCGCAAAACACGATCGGTGGATCCATACACACATAGTACATGCACTCTACATACACGTCCGGACTGCAATTCTACGCAAACTGTCTACCATCGGCCTTTTCCGATGCCCCGTCTCGCACCTACGCCTTGTCACCACTTCGTCTAGGCAGCGACTCACTCTTCAAACATCCCATCCCATCTCCTATTTGCGAGTGTCTACACAACCGGTCCTTCTTTCTTAGCATCTGACGTGTTGCATACACCTTGGGTCTGTCGATGCACTCGATGTCTGCTTTTCCTGCTACCCCACCTGTACCGGTGAAGATGGTTTACTCAAGGCAGAAGGCCATGGGATGAGCTGCCGTAGCCTCCCTCATTCCCACACGTTCTGTCAGTCAGTCAGAAGGGCGACCTTTCTGCCTTGCACATACTGGCGAATTCAGCCCAAGATCTAGGCACACACTGTGGCAGCCCTAAAATTACTGAAAGAGGCATAGGGAAATCAGCCAAATAACTTATCCTCACACAGCCACAAAATCCGATTGCCATCTCGGCCGGCTCAGGGTCCGTTGTTCAAGCGAATCGGTTGCTTGTTGTTGTGGCTGTTGCTGGTGTATGCGCCATTCTCGACACTAAACTAGTCTTTGGCCCCATTTTCCTTTCCTGTCATCTTCCGAGAGCCTCTTGGCTTCTTCGCTCGCCCATGATTGGTGAGTCTCTCCCGCGCCAATCGCTGTCTCCGAAAAACATGTATGTACGTATGTCGGTAGCATACCCATGTTCCGCTGCCCTACAACTTGACCCTGGCGGAATTATCGCTACCTAAGCTTGTCGCTAGACTGATAAAGGTATTCTAACTCATTTTCGAAAGTCTCCAGGGCTCTGTCCTAGAACCAGCACATGCCGTGATCAAGCCGTCGCCCTTTGACCAACTACTCTATTCCTCACCTAATGCATAATTCCATGCCATGCTTCTACACACGGTTATGAGCCCGCGTAATAGCTGCTTCAACAGACCGATAACTGATCCCTTCCACTATCATCTCCAGTCTTATGGTAAAATAGAGAGTTTAAGCATTTTCTCTAATGCTTACACACTTCAACCCCACGCACATGTCGCGTACACTTCTCTGTATCTTGTATTACCTTTGCTACTAAGAGTCACAGGACGCCTGCAGCAACGGAGTGGCGGTGATTCGGCCCCTCCACACTAGCTACAGCACCGGGTCCCACCACGGAGGATATGTTCGAAGCAGGCAACGGTATCAGATATGTGATCTGCCACTGGATTTCACCAGAATTTTCCAAGTTCTCTCCAATGATCCCTGGATGTTGCAGAACATGGTGGTAGCAGCCGTCCCGCCATGGCTGCCGGCCTCCACCCTACCATGGGTTCGGGAACACCCCTGTGAGTCACGGACGTCAACACGTTGTAATATGTGAAGGGCAAATGGTCATGGGTGGTGCCCAAGGTGAGTCCTGGGAGTGATAATAGAAAAGGGAGAGAGGTCAAACCCTGTCGTCAAATTTCGAAATCCTTCGAGACCTAAGAAGCCCAAACAAATCGCGAATAGCAATGCCGGCCAACATGCGCATCGCTATAGCAGGTGAGACGATGATTGGAATGTTCTAAGAAATCTGCTGACTTTACAACTAACATCAGGTACTTGTGGCCTAGCACTCCTGATAGCTCAGGAGATCAACAACTCGACTAGCCACCAGTTGGTCATTCTCTCAAGAACAGTATGTATCCAAAGACAGCTCATCATCAGATCGCTAAATGGCTTTGGCCAAACTGACTCTTGTTAGCATCAAACAAGTCTTATAGCATCTGGTTACAATTGCCAGACTGTTGACTACAACAATGCCGCCTCACTTCAGCATGCCTTGATGGGTGTTGACACAGTCATATCCACAGTCTTGGGAAGCCCCCAGCTTCGGCTCATTGAAGCGGCTGTACAATGTCGTGTGCGACGTTTCGCGCCTGCCGAGTTCCAAGGTCAACCCGGTTTGCGAAGTCAGAATGGATTACTCGACCGTGGAGAGGACTCGGCCTTGGCTTTACTCAAGCACTACAGTGGCTATATCCAGCACACCGTTTTCGTCTGTGGTATACTCTATGAGCGATTCTCCGTCAACGGAATGATGTCTCACCGTATGGGGGCCAGCACAGGTTATGGCAACGAAGGAGACTTCATTGCCAATCCCCGACAGATGACCTCGATAGCGCCAATCTACGATGCCGCGCAAAACCCCTCTTGGCTATGTTTAACATCCGCATATGATGTAGCGCAGTTTGTAGTTCGAGCCATTGACATGCCTACCTGGGCTTCTGAGATGAGCATGTGTGGCGAGCGTATGACTGTGCATAGTCTTGTTGAGACAATCAGAGCTTGTAGGAGTATATTAAACCTCCCGAGTATGATAGGACAGTGAATTGACTTGTGTTAGGTCGTGCCTGGGTTAGCATTGAATACCAAGCTCCCGCAAGTACGTCGTCTCACCACTTCATGTCAACTTATGTGCTGACTAAATTCGCAGACCTCGAGTACCATATGACTATGGCAGAGTTGGAAGGTGATGTGGCTGGACAAAGACGGCTCGCTCCGCTGCTCGCGACGGCAGAGGGACGCTACGACTTTGTAGTGCCCGCGTACCTCAACACCGTCTTCCCTGACATCCACGTCACTCATTTCCAAGACTGGTTCCTGCGCAATTGGGCATCTATACCTTGAAGCACCCACACAGATACGTCATACTCTACATGAGATGTGTACGTGTTGATCAAGACCCCGATGCAGGGACGATTTTTTACCAGGATCCATGGGTGAAACGAGCATCAGAAGATCTCGTTATACTGAACTTGGGCAGTATGCCGCTTGCCATAACCGTCCGGTGGCCGGCAGATCCCTGTCGTTTCACCGGTCTGGGAGGCAATACCTCACATTCTCCACTTGGGCGTTGTTTATGCTGTCTTTGGCATTGGTTTCCTGCTTGCTTCATTGCTAGGATGATCTTCGAACTTTGCTAGTGGTAGAAATGGGGAAAGGGAAACCACAAGAAGAAACCAGGTGCATTCTTTATGAAGATATTTGTATTTCAACCTTCCCATCATCAAGGGAAGCAATTAGAAGTTGCTTACGTCTTACTGTACTTGGCTTCCCAGTTCCCCCAATCATAACAACCGACACGCGACACTTTCCAGAGTTGCGGCTCGTTTGTCCCGATGCACGGGCGCAAGCACTAGCTGATTTTGCAGAAGACCATCCGATGATGCGAACAAACCCACTTCGCTGGGGTGGGAATCTGCGATGGGCAAATTGCATCAGTGAGACGTCATGGTGGGGCGAGGGTTCTCAGCTATTATGATAAAACACCAACGTGCCTCACAGTGCAGTTTTCTTTCCAGTATCACAACCACAATTTCAACTACATCTCTAACGCCAAACGCACACTCATAACACTCTTCACTTCCTCCTCATACCCATAAAGTAAGTACAATCATATGCAGTAGGTGGTAGAAGGCTCTCAAGTTAGTGTTCGTGACGCGAGACGCGGCCCCACATGCATGCCTTCAGTACTTATAAGTACTAACATACCTAGCACACAACAACAACCAAAATGGTCTCTTCTCAGCAAGGTTACGCCAACACCACCGTCGACATGAAGGGCAACAACAAGGCCGTCGATGAGGCCCAGTCCAACCTCCCTCTTCCCGACCAGCCACCAGTCGCCTCCGACTTCAACTCTTCTGACGCTCGTACTGTCAACGTTGGCTCGGGCGGCCAAGAAGCCAGCTTCACTTCCGGCGGCGGAGCTATCCGTGAGCCTGCTGTAGGTGCTGGTGGTGCTTCAGCCCGTGAGGCAAAGGATGGTCTCGATGGTATTCCCAACGATGCTGTTTCTCGCGAGGCCAAGAACCACTCTGGCCTTGCCGACACAACTGGCAAGGATTACGGATACCCACAAAAGAACGACCCCAGCTCCGGTCTCAAGCAGTAGAGTGTTCCACGAGGAGATGATGATCAAAGATACCCAAAGTGTAGTGGGGTTGGAGGATTTTCTTATCATACAAGGTCACTGTCACTGCGTTCAGCTGGCCGACTGCAAGAGCAGTATCTTGATGACTTAATATACGAATTCAATGAATGATGAAATACATCAGTTTCTAATCTTCGTAATGTCGTCTACTAAATGTATTCGCTATCATGTGGCTAGCTGTCCGACTGGTGCATTTGATCTCTGGATCGAAGCAAAGCCATGTCGGAAGTGTGAAAATCAAATATCTGAAGAGACCGTGCACTATGAATTGTACGGCATTCATAATTTCCTCCTTCTAGATATGTTCTAGAAAGGATATCTTACTTTCTAATAGCGGTATAGGGCTAAACGTCGTAAGCTCGCCTTCTTGGTCCAGACAAGAAAGTGTACGTACTCGCTAACTAGGCGCTCATGGAGGCTTGCCAAGACACGACTATTCCCGACGCTATCCCAGCCGCAAGCACACATGAATACCCGATCTCCACTGCGGTTTGATGGAGTATGTTCCGTGATCCAAGTCTATCTCACACCACGTCTGTCCAAGAACAGGGCAGCACTAGTAGTCAAGACTGAGGTGAAGCGCTTTTGACGTCACACAAACGCCAACATACGCCATACGTATGAATAGGTCACAATGATTTATTTATGAGCATACATTAAAGGCAGTTTGCACTTCCCTTGGAAAAGCACATACCATCTACAACTCTCCAACTAAATACCTGCATCCTATTCTCTGTCAGAAAAAAACAACTCAACTTAATCCCAAATAGCAAGATATCTAAATAACATGACTTCCATCGGACAAAAGGTATGCATGCAGTATCACCCGAGAACGGGCTTACATATACTCGCCTTACCCTACGGCGAGATACTGGATGTAATAACGCAGCTGACCTTCATCTCCCAGGTAATTACCGACCCTGCGTCGAAAGTTCCCATCAATGAGGCGGTCGGTATCGTAACATCCGACTCTCTCGCAGGCGAGTCCCTTAAGAATCATGGCCACTTTGGTGAAGGCAACCCCAAGGCAGGAGTCTCAGACCAGCCTTCTTCATCCACAAACACAAACACAACCGACACGTCAAATGCCGTCAAGCTCAGCGCTGCCGTTAATTCTGAAGCGCGAGATGCTCAGGAAGGATGGAATGAGGAGAAGACCATAAGCTCAGGCAAGGGTCTAGGCGGCACTTCGGGTAGCACTGAAGGAGCATCCAGCGTGACGGGTACAACACCCGTTGCTCTCTCTGGTACACATGTCGATCCAGGCGTACTTAAGCCCAAGGGCGCCAATCTGACAGAGGATCCGGAACTACACGGAGACCGCAAGTTTGGCGAAATTGGTACAATCAACGATCCCGCTAGAGAAGCGGAGCGCAAGCTGCAGGGTGTAAATGCTGCAAATGCCGGTGTTACTCCCAAGACGGCCGACATGGCACAGGATGGCGACAGCAAGTTCAGCAACCTTGGAGACACTACTGCTTAAACCTGATCAATGGAGGCATGATGTGAGAGCATGTATGATGTTTAGCAGTTTAGCATTAAGACAATGAACAAGCATAATGAACTCTGAGAGATGTAAATCTTAACTGGGGCGCATTGTTATCATGTGGGATGGCGCTTGCGATAAGTTCGCAGGGTGAAGGAAGCACGTGGCGGAGCGATCCTAAACGGGCCTCTTCCGCGGGCACGGACGCCGATCATTACAGCAGTTCAAGGTGGCCTTTCGCGTCGCATTACCTACTTGTGTCAACGTCGCTCATTAGTTCACCCCACCCTTTACTTTCTTCCCATTTTCATTTTTGCTGAATCGCGACTGGGGCTGCAGTACCCTAGTGTCACGACTGAGCAGCCAGAATGAACGGTTTCGGGGAGCATGGGCATGATGATGATGCGTTTGGACCTGCCAAAGGGGGGATCGTGTCAAGTTTCGATGCTTTTCGTAAGTACTACTTTCTCTACGGAAGATCAAGAGGACTTTTGCACGCAGAGATTTGGGGAAGGTGAATTATATCACTTGCAATGGTGGTTTGAACTGATGCGACGTTGCTCACTCATAGACGAGCAACACAACTAACCGACAATCGCAGCCAAAACCAAAAAGACGTACCTCGTTCAGGGTCGCAATTCCTCAGCATGGACAGTAACTCTCATCATTACATGCATCTATCTGACCTGGTCGGAAATTGCGCGCTGGTATGCTGGCACAACGACGCAATCCTTCACCATCGAAAAGGGTGTATCTCACGACATGCAAATAAACCTCGATATAATTGTCGCCATGAAATGTGGTGACCTCCACGTAAACATGCAAGATGCAGCTGGTGATCGCACGCTAGCCGGTGAGCTTCTACGTAAAGACCCAACCTCATGGTCGCAGTGGACTGGCAAGAACACTGAGAAAGGCACGCACGAGTTGGGCGATGAGACAACCCAGATTCCGGAATGGGAAGAGTACGGCGATGTGCACGAGCATTTGGGAAAGGCGACAAAGAAGAAGTTCAGCAAGACACCCAAGCTGCGCGGCCCGACGGATAGTTGCAGAATCTACGGCAATCTTGTGGGAAACAAGGTGCAGGGAGACTTCCACATCACCGCAAGAGGACACGGATACATGGAATTTGGAGAACACCTCGACCATTCAAGTAAGATCACACATCCCAGAACCCGTCAAAAATGTCCCCTCTCCCCCCAAACTAACAACCCCCTTCAGCCTTTAACTTCTCCCACATCATCCGCGAAATGTCATTCGGCCCATACTACCCCTCGCTGACCAACCCCCTCGACTCCACCATCGCCGTCACCCCAACCCCCGCAGACCACTTCTACAAATTCCAATACTACCTCTCCATCGTCCCCACCATCTACACCGACGAGCCCTCCCTCATGCCCCTCATGGAATCCGTCGTCTCCACCAAAGACCAACCCTCATCCAACATGTTCCACATGGCGCACGCCATCAAGACAAACCAGTACGCCGTTACCTCGCAGTCGCACAAGGTAGATGACAACTACGTCCCTGGTATCTTTGTCAAGTTCGATATCGAACCCATTATGCTGGCGATTGTCGAGGAGAGCAAGAGCTTCTGGAAGTTGCTGATTACGCTAGTGAATGTTGTCAGTGGTGTCATGGTTGCGGGTAGCTGGGCGTGGCAGATGTTTGATTGGGCGAGCGAGTTTGTGGGTAAGAGGAAGCGGAGGGGTGATGGCGTTGGTGTGCTTGGTACGCCGTCTGTGGAGAAGCAGAGCTGGGATTGAGCGAGCGTGTGAACAAAGAAAGGGGTTGCATTGTTTTGGCGTTTATGGAATGGTTTATGACTTTGGTCTTGTACGCATAGAAGTTCGATGTGTCGAGGTTTTTTCAATTTTTTTTTAGTCTTTATTGTATCTTATTGTCAAGAGCTGTTATAGGAATTTCGTGTGTAGTTGGTTCGTAGAAGAGCCGACTGTTTGTTTAGGTGATTAAGTAAGGTATGATCATTTCATCAGCATCGTATCGTCCCGTTGTTTACTTCAGGATCCATTCTCTTTCCTTCTCCTGCGGATCGACTACATCAACCGAACTACCCACCCATTTTGCCTCTCGAAACGGCAGAATAACCGCCAACACTTTCGACTTGACCAAACCCAACGGTAAAGGACCAAACAGCCTACTATCCCTACTCCACTCCAGATTGTCCCCTTGCACCCAGCAATGCCCATCCGGCACCCGAATCACCTCTTCCCTCACGCTCGCCCACTTCCCCTCAGCATCAACAGCCTCGATATTCTCATCGCTGCGTCCCGGCGTAATAACACTAACAAAGTCACCCGGCATACCAATAACCCGCTTGCACCCATGCTGCTTAGGGAACATGGGGTGCGTATACGTTATCACATCGCCCACCTGTATATTCCGGCCTCGACGGTGAAGCGACGAGTACAAGATCCAAGGGTGTGAGCGAAAGGAATGAGGAATGGTGGGGACCATGGATATACCGGTGGTCGATCCCACGCCGCCGATGTACGAGAAGAAGACATGACCGACGACGAAGACTTTGGCGACGAGGAAGGCGCTACCTAGACGTTGATTTAGTTGCGCAATTGGGCGCATAGGTGTGATTGCAACGTACGCGTCCATGCTTGAGGGCTTAAGAAGGCGGGTGCTGACTTCTTATGGAAGCGGTGGATCGAAGACCATGGTGGCGGCATTACAAAGCAGGAAAAAAAGATCTTGAGCTTTGGTATCACATGTGCATCTTCTGATTGTGCGATGCTGGGCTTGCGCGTCCGCTCAATGACGTTGCGGAACTTGTTTGTAGCTGGAGCGAGCGAGGGGATGTACGAACGAGTGTTTGGAATTCCGTCAAGCTAGATTATCGCCGGCGCTAGTGCGTTTAACTCCATGGGCATCCCACTTCATGAACTTTTGCGCGGACGAGCGTGATTGCGGAAAGATGGTTCAGGTGCAAGATGAAGTTGTGGGCTTGAAGAGCGTGGAGCAGGCTGGTCTCAGGTATATCGTGCGTGACTTCTCTTGATCTGTTCGTTTTGCTGATGTACTTAGATCTGCACCAACTGGCCTTGAAGGCGAGGGGACATTGCAAGATGCTGTAAGAGGTGCATTCATTTTCTTCGATGCCTTTTTTACTGAAGTTTTATTTCTTTAAACTTTGTCAACACAGTGCTCATTGATTGGTAGACCTGATAACATCTTACCACGACCTCAACCCCTCTACTATCGATATTCTCCATGAAGAGCCATCACCACTCCAGTTCATGCGACAAGTCGCGCGCAACCGCCCATTCATAATCCGCAACGGAGCCTCATCCTTCCCAGCCCGCAAAAAATGGAACGCCCAGTACCTCCAAGACGTGATGCGCGGCCAAACAGTAAACGTAGCCATGACCCCCCACGGCAACGCCGATTCAGTCGTCGACCTACCCTCTGGCGGCTCCCTCTTCGTCAAGCCCCACGAAACCGACTCCCCCTTCGAATCCGTCTTGACCAAAATCCAGCGTCAAGAACACGATAAAAGATACATCGGCCCAACATACTACGCCCAAACCCAAAACGACAACCTCCGAAACGAATACGCCACCCTCTTCGCCGACGTACCCTCCTCTATCCCCTTCGCTCGTATAGCTTTGGAGCAAGACCCCGACGCAATCAACTTCTGGCTCGGAAACTCGCATTCAACCACCGCTCTGCACAAAGACAACTACGAAAACATTTACGTGCAGATTCTCGGTAAAAAGCATTTTGTATTGCTGCCGCCCGTAGAGGCGGCTTGTGTGAATGAGAAGGCTGTCCTCGCAGCTACGTATCGACCTAAATCCACGGCATCTAGTGAGGAAGAGAAGGAGGGGCTTGTGATTGCGGTAGATGAGCCGGAGGAATACGTGCCGTTTGCGACGTGGGATCCTGAGGTACCGCTTGCTAATCCGACGCCTTATTCGCAGCACTCGCAGCCTCTACGTGTGACGTTGGAGGAAGGCGATATGCTGTATTTGCCTGCGCTCTGGTATCACAAAGTAAGCCAGAGTTGCAACGAAGAAGGGATTTGCTGTGCAGTGAATTACTGGTACGATCTCGATTTCAGCGGTGGGTTTTGGAGTACGGCGAATTTTGTGAGGAGTACTGGGCTTTTGTCTATGGGTGGGATAAGTGGGACTGGCAAGGATTCAAAAGGTGGATGGTGAATTATACCAACAGACGAAATAAATTCCAATTAAGGGTATCTCTAGCATCTATAGCACCAAGTACAATATCGGCGGCAAATACAGTCATCTATGAACGCTCATACCCTCTCTATTAATGTTTAATCTTGACTTTAATGTCCACGTTCCTTGCACTCTGCCACACACTATCACTGACTTTGACGGGTAATTTCCGTCCTTTGAGTCGTTGATCAATCAACCACAGTCCCACGACAAATTCGTATCTGGTCAGTCTTCCAATTGCTCGTCCGTCTACCAAGTCCCATACTTCTTCTAGCACGTGCGTGGGTAAGCGACTCCTCGTCCAAATCTCTTTGACCACAAGATTCAGTACGTCGGCGGATGGATCATCGTCAGGCGCTGCACGAGGCGATGGAGGTATGAAAAGGCCTTTGTTTGCCGCCCAGACCCCTTCGTACCGTTTTCGCTCTCTTTCAGTGATCTGGTCACGCCATCGCTTTCGATTTCCCTCATCGTGCTTGTTCGGATGTTTCCGCCCTTTGATGCCCATGATTCTTGTGCCTTTCTTTTTGTACTTGTCCACCTTGTTATCTTCATCGTCTGATGAGGATGGCTCTTTGCGCATTGTGGTACGCAACTTTCCTGTGCTTTTCGGAGGTGAATTCTTTTGCGGAGACGGAGACCGGTGAAACGGCAAGTGGTGATGGTGGTGTTGCTTGCGTGGTGGAAAGAGCGGCTCGACTGACATGGGGCGAGGCGCGGGGGAAACATTGCGAGACTGTGAAGCTAAAGCTGCGCCCATGATTGCGCTTGATAGGGACTCTCCGGTCATGTGCTGAGTGATCTGCTTGACTGATTCGCGTTGGTAGTTGTTGTGATACACCGAAGGGGAGGCCGTTCCTATATTAGATGCTGGTCGATGAGGCGAGAGATTCCGCACCGGAGAGGCTGAACCTGGCGTTTGAGCACCTGCGCGTGATTTGATCTGAATGGGTGTTGTCGGTTGAAGCTTTTGCGAAGCCGGCACTGACTCTGCTTTCCGGGTAGTCGAGCGACGAGGTGGAGGCACGGTTGGCTTGAGTTTGACTTCTGCGTCCTCTTCTTCTTGTTCCTCTTTTGCGGACTTGAAAGAAGACGGCGTTGAAGGCGGTTTAGAGCTTTCCATGGATGTCGACATTCTCCTTGCCTGACGGGAGCCTTTTCGAGGTGGTGAGATTGCCGTCGTCAGAGCTGCTAATTCTACTGGCTTCTGCTTGACCGGAGGTGATTTCATAGGACCCTTTTTAGGCGTATTGAAGTATGCTTTGTCATTCGCACCGTCAGTGAGTTGTGGGGATAGCTGAATCTGGTGCTTTGGCTTTGGCTTGACAGGTGGAGGTGTCTGTGTCCTTTTCCTCTGCAGCGGAGCGTTATCTTCTTCCGGGTCAGGTGGTAGTGAAAAGGTCCGCCGAGGCTTTGGGGATCGAACAGGAGGCGGCGAACTTCGAGCAACATGTAAAGGCGTAGAAGTCTGGTCGGTCGGCGTTGTAGATCTGCCTTGTTCAAACATCTTTACTAAGGTATTTGTAGGCGGTATAGGAGTATCGTCGGTGGGCCTGCTGGTTAATTCCGGTCGCTGGGCACGGCTGGCAGCTGAGCGCGACTCAAGACTGTCTCTCCTTTTCTGCTGCTGCGGACCAGGCTTCTTAGGCTCAAGTTTCGCAAGCAGATTGCCCACACTACCAGGCGGAGGTAGGATATCCCTTTCATTCGGCTCTTGTTCGTCCATCGTAGGCGCGGGCTGGAGTTTGGGTTGGGGCATGGGCTTCAGAGGGCTGTGCCGGGCAGCGGCCAGCCGTGCCGCGATGTTGGATGGAGATGGTACACGGTCAAGGTGATCGCCAGGAACGCTCAACGACGTAGCATTCGCCGGGTTGGAGGTGATTGGTCTGCTGACGCCTAGAGATCCGCCGGTATGGTCTCGTTGTAAGGATGCAGGGCTGCCTGTTCCAACCCGCGTGGCTGCTAGCCAGGCTGCATTGTCTCCTCCGGTATATGTGTTGGTGACAGGCTTCGGCTTCACAGGGGGTTTGGAGAAGGCTTTCGAGGCGCCCTGCAATGCAGCGTTGCGTACGTTGTGCTGCACATCTCCGGCTGACTGCGGGACCCAGCCCTGGTTGCGTGTAGAGCTCATTTATGCTCCATCGGGTTGGTCAACAATAATGACGTACACAAAGGGATTTCAAGGCTATCGATTCGGGTTGGACGGTAGCGCTACGCAGCATACATATGTACATGGAAGGAAGAGAAAAAGAGAGACGGCGCTGAAAACGAACAGTGGAGTCGCAATTCTAATGTTCCAAGATTAGCACTGTCAGCCTCATGACAGCCCCCGTTTATCCACCTGTGCATGGGTGATGTCCTGGGCAGTACGCTAACCGCTTCCATGCCTAAGAGCCACGTGATCACGCGCAACGCTAAACGCGACCTTCCAGGCATCCACGACGCGGCATTCAAATACCAACGACGGCCCACTGCGTGGTGCTCCTCATCAATGCACTCAAAATGGTAGAAGATACGCCAATGCCAGATACAGACGCCGTACGGGAAAACACCCTCATGTACGGCCATGATGACGACCTGGACGAGAAATACCCGCTGCGGCCTTTGAATTTACACAAGACACTGCCGTTTCACACATTGTTCACCGATCTTTTCAACCCGCTCATGGACACGCAAAAAAAGAAGCAGCCGGTTGGCCCCCGGCGCAAGGTTGGACCGCACGGCCGCGGCAACCTAACGCCACATGAAGCCAAGCGGAACATCGTCGAGCGCTTTATTGCGAATTGGCGGAAGCAGGTGGGGAATGACTTCTATCCTGCAATGCGTCTCATTATCCCCGAGAAAGACCGAGAGCGGGCAATGTATGGTTTGAAAGAGAAGACAATAGCAAAAATCTTGATCAAGCTCACCAGAATTGGCAAGGATTCAGATGATGCGAAGCACATGCTCAACTGGAAGTTACCTAGTCAGCTGCAAAAGGCACCAACTTGGACTGCTGGCGACTTTGCCGGACGGTGCTATGAGATTCTATCGTCACGTCAGCTCAAGACAGAGTACAGCGACATGAGCATCGCGGAAGTCAACAATGCTCTCGACAAATTATCGCAGGTCGGTACCGAAGAGGAGCAAGTTAAAATCTTCCAGAGATTTTATCGGAGAATGAATGCCGAGGAAATGACGTGGCTTATTCGGATGATTCTTCGTCAGATGAAAATTGGCGCGACTGAGAAGACCTTGCTTGATATTTGGCATCCAGATGCAGAAACGCTATTCAACGTGTCATCAAATCTTCGGCGTGTTTGTTGGGAGCTTTTTGATCACAACATACGTCTTGAAGGCGAGAATACTGGTCTTAGTCTCATGCAATGCTTCCAACCGCAACTAGCTCAATTTCAGGACAAAGTAGGCTCGTTCCAGAAAATGGTTACCAGGTTCAAAGGAGATTCAGATGACGATACGTTCTGGATTGAGGAGAAACTGGACGGCGAACGCATGCAACTACATATGGTAGAGGACTCAGATGCGCCAGGCGGGAGATCGTTTGGCTTCTGGTCGCGAAAGGCAAAAGACTACACTTATCTCTATGGAAAGCATTTCCACGGCGACGAAGCTGGAGCACTCACGCGGTTCGTAACAGAAGCATTTGGGAAGAATGTGAGGAACATTATCCTCGATGGCGAAATGGTTACCTGGGACATGGAAACTGATCACATCGTTGGGTTTGGTACTCTCAAGACGGCAGCCATATCTGAAAAGGAGAACAAAACAAACCAAGAGACTGGCCAGCGACCATTGTTTCGAGTGTTTGACTGTGTATATCTGAACGATACGTTGCTCACCCAGTATACGCTTCGTGATCGCCGTCGTGCTCTGGAAAGCGCTGTCAAAGGTGTACATCGCAGATTAGAAGTCCATCCATATATTGAGGCGCGTTCGCATACTGAGATCGAGCCGGCGCTGCGAAAAGTGGTTGCTGAAGCATCCGAGGGCTTGGTGTTAAAGAACCCTCGCTCAATGTATTGCTTGAACCAACGAAACAACGATTGGATGAAGGTGAAGCCGGAGTACATGTCCGAGTTTGGAGAGTCTCTTGACTGCATTGTCGTGGGAGGGTACTTTGGCTCTGGCCGTCGCGGTGGTGCCCACTCATCTTTTCTCTGTGCGTTACTGACGAACAAGAGCGCAAAGCCAGGAGACCCCAAACACGAACATTGTTGGTCATTCTTCAAAGTTGGTGGTGGATTTAGCTCGGACGACTACGCTGCTTTACGAGGACGAACGCAAGGAAAATGGCATGACTGGGATCCTCGGCGTCCACCGCCATTCATCGAACTAGGTGGCCACGAGCAGAATCGGCAACATGAGAGACCGGACCAATGGATTAGACCAAGTGACTCTGTCGTACTGGAGTGCAAAGCTGCCAGCGTCGAGAGCAGCGACAAGTTCCGCTTGGCATTGACACTCCGCTTTCCGCGCTTCAAGCAGCTCAGGACAGACAAACGATGGGATCAGGCGCTTTCCGTGCAGGAATTCCTGGAAGTCAAAACTAAAATAGAGATCGAGAAGTCCGAGAAAGAGAAGGAATTCAAGATCGAACAGTCACGACGCAAGAAGGCGCGCACATCGAAGAAGCCGCTGGCGGTGATGGGCAACGATACAGTGACGACGCCTTATGCAGGCCCAGAGTCTAAAATCTTCGACGGACTCAGCTTCTATGTCATGACTGAGCAGGTGCACCCAATGAAGAAATCTAAAGCCGACCTAGAGGCACTGATCAAAGCCAACGGTGGCAAGCTTGTCCAACGCGACTCTACAGACAAGAATCTCATCATCATTGCCGACAAACGGCTGATCAAAGTCGTGTCGCTGGAAAAGCGAGCTACAAACAACATCGTCAAGCCAATCTGGATCCAAGACTGTATTACGCAAAGCGAAGCAGACACTGGCGCACTGCCCTACCTACTCCCTTTTGAACCGAATAGGCACATGTTCTACCTCCACGATGACGATCAATTCGAGATTGAGAGCAACGTAGATGAAAATGGCGATTCTTATGCACGCGACATTGCGGACGTGGAAGAGATGAGGAAGTTGCTGGATGGGATGATGAAACCGGAAAGTCCAGCTACGTTCCAGCGACAAGAATTTTTGAAACAGTTGGAAGATCATAGCAAGCCTCTGGAGCAGCTGAAGACTCATATGTTTCACTCTGTCAAAGCTGTTTTTCCAGATGATGTGGATAGCGAAGAATGGTCGTTGAAGGCGCAACTGGCGAAGAACTATCTCCGTTTTGGAGATGGGCTGATTGCTGATAACGAGGAAGAAGAGGGAGTCACGCACATCGTTGTACCAGACGAGAGATCTATGCCCAAGAGATTGAATCCGAGAATCTCTGGACTTGCTCGAATAGTTGGTATAGGATGGGTGGAAAAGTGCTGGGAAGAAGGTACAAGGTTGGATGAAGAGAGATTTCAATGGGGTTAGAGCCCCATCCACTTTTACATTTCACAATGATAATGATCATGATGCCACGAATAGCTCAGCCTTCTCAAAACGTGCTTCCCTTCGTCAATCTCCTCCGCCACCCCCTCTCCCTCATCTCCCTCTCTCCAGTATCCGCCCGCGATATCCTAAGCTCCCCACTCGGTACTATCAACGAACCCCCGCTCTGTTTCAAACGACTCCGCAAGTCGTCTTCCTCTAGATACTCAGCCTCGGTACCAAGCTCCTGCCTGACTGCAGCCGAGTAATCCATGATGCTGCGCAACAGCCCCGGTCTCCGCCCACTCTTGTACATTCTCGAGCTCAGCCGTGTATCGAGCCACATGCCTATCATGATGCATGTCCAGATGAAGTTGAATATGGACACCATGAAGAGGAAGATGTAGGAGAAGCCCCACTGGTATGTCTCGCTTGGTTGACAGGAGCCGTGCTCAAGCAAGTATGAAGTGTTGTATACATCTGTGGGACGGTCCTCGAAAGCAACGGGGACCTGTCCATGCCATTCTGGCGGAGGTATTATCTTTTCTGGGTAGGTCCGGTAGGTTGTAATATTGAGGCTTGGGGAAGTGAGCTCTAGAGGTGTCGTCATCCCTTCTACTACCCATTTTGAAGGCTCATCAGTGTATAGCTCGGAGTAAGTAAAACCGTCTACAGTTGTTCCGGGGGTTCTGCCTGTATCAGGATCGAATTGTTCCATGTCTGAGTAGAGGTTAGCCAGCTACTGAGGAGAGTTTACGTTCGACATACAAAGTTTGACAGCGTTTCTAAGTTCCGTATCGGCTTCTGTGATTATCAAGGGTTTGTCGTAGCGTAATAATCTATCCGCATCTTGAATAATGTTCGTCACTCGTCTTACTTTACCCCACTCGATGAGGTTGTGGTCGTGATTCTCCACATATAGCTCGTACGTAGTAATGTAACCCGTCATGGCACCCATCAAAGTCGGAAATGATAGCACGTACAGAGTCGACAGCAACATGGACAGCATCGCAAGCCACCTGAAGAACCGACGCCGTGTTCTTTTGCCAAACGCCAGAAACTCTTTTGCTAATACACCAAGCGTACCCATAGTCGTTGTTTCAAACGCAACAGCCGCGTAGAGTTTGTAGGAAGTGAAATGCATCTCCATGTGATATATCAGCCACTCGTTGAAGACGCGATAGTTGATCCAACCCAGCAGTAACTGTCCCCCTCTCCCGACGATGACATCCCAAGCAACGTCGATAACTTTGACCTGGGTGAAGGTGAAGGCTCCAAAGCTGAGGTTTGGCGTGAAAAAGTAGGAAGAATCCATGATGCGCCATGTCGCACCAGGCTTTTCTTTCCAAAGACCATTGGGATAGCAGTCCCGGCCCATTATGTAGCTCTGTGATGTCATTTCCGCGGCTGCAGCGAGGACTACAATGATGGCGAGCGCAAGGAGGGCCGCAAGAGCAATCAAAGTTACTTTCCAAGGAGAAGACGACCAGATTTCTCTCAACCCGGCTTTATGAGTCTCTATCTTGGGCTGCAGTATATCAGATCCGGTGCCATCGTCGAGGCGCTGCATTTCCATCGTTTCCGCGCGTTTACCTTGCTCTTCAGTCGCGTCCTGGGAGGTGATGGAGATATACGCGGATGGCCTCATATCGGAACAAGCGATAACATGTGATACACATCGAGAGTAAGAGACATGTGTACGTGTGTGTCCGGAGGTATAATTTTAGAGATGGTATGATAATTTGAAGTGCGCTGCGTTTAGGCGTCCAAGATCGTCGTACGTACGAACCTGGCTGTTACAAGGCCAAGCGAGGCGCAGCAGTGTGAGCATTGCAGATTGGGGGCTGGAAGATGGCCGTGACAATCGAAAATACGTTGGAGCACTGAAGCTGGTACTTGTTGTTTTGCCATGGTTGACGCGGGCTGTGAAATGGGTGTAAATTCTGTAAATTCTATTTAGTGGCGATGGAAGGGGTGGTTCTATACGAAGTACTAGTAGTATGCCGCTACGCGCATCATTAGCATGGGGGAAGCCAGACAGCGCTAGTAGTAGGGTCCACAACGAGATGTCTATCCTCCAGGCCTCGCAACCTACCCGTAGCTCGACCGCAAAAACAAACCATCTTATCTTGCAACAGTGATGCAGTTCGGCGGTACGAGCCAAGTCGGGCAGGTTAGTTTATGCTAGCGGCACACACCCCGCACATCCCGCTTCCAACCAGGGGCCAGCAACGGACCAAGCCATAAATGGTAATGTTTACATTGTCTTCGATGAAGTTGATTCGTTGCATGTGTAATGAATTCTATCGAACCGGAATGCACAAGGTTTGCGATGCAGCATGTGAGCAAGAATCGAGCGGGAATTTAGCAACAATGCCTCCTGAGCTGCTGGACCCTTTCACCCTTACTCCACCAGGGTGGAGAGAGAGGAGAAGAACAACTTGAATCGCCCTACTTACCGCAAGCTGTAAAGGCATATCCCATCAGAATGCCTGTATCTGAAATGACCGCCCTCTGGAACCTGCGAATAGCTTTGCTCACGGGGCTGGCCGTCACTCTCCTAGGCGCATTCTACGTCTACCAGTCACCATCGCCTCTGGATTTCACAATACCGCATCGCACATCAGGCAACGGCTTACCCGGACTCGAATTATCGCTCAGCCAGAAATCTCGAGATCCGCCTACTCTCCTTGTGACTGTGGAGAACAATCACTCCGACACAACGTACACGGTACTCAAATGGAACACGCCACTGGATCTGTACGCACTCGACGCGGGCGTCTTCAACATAGTAGACGAAACTAGCCACCGCGAGATAGAACAGGCTATAATACATATTACCCGCAAGATGCCGCCGCCTCCGAACCAGTTGTTGACGTTAGCGCCTGGTATGCGAGAAGAGGTTGAGATAGTGTTTAATAGACCGTGGATGCCAGAGCGCAGGCCTGCAAAGTACAGAGTTAGTGCTGAAGGAGTATTCAAGGGCGCGTGGGCAAAGCATCGAGATGAATTGACAAAGGACAAGTTATACGCTTTTGCGGAAAGTCCGTTCAGTGGGCGGAGATTCGCAACGAATGAAGTTATTGTGGAAATTTAATGATAATACAGATGTAATGAGATACAAAGGATTGAACATGCATACAACATATGAATGAATACTGAAGTATTCACAGTGTAGCTTTGTCTAGTCTTCGCTCTTCATCCCTCTGCCATATCCTCAACCTTCCAGCCCACGCTCTTTCCCCGCCTCCTTTACAGATCTATTTGTGCCCTGGTATCCAAACAACCTCCCTCCCTATATATAAAAAATCCTACACGATGTGTGCGTGAATGCCTGCGATATATACTAAACCACCGCCCCTCACATCAGCAACAGCGAATCCTAAGCGTTCAGCGTAAAACATACCTTTCTCGGCTTCTCCAACCGCTCCCACAGTGAAACCCGCGAAGCCTTCGTCACCGCCCTCTTAATCGAATCTCTCGTGAGTATCCGTTTCATCTTCGCTTTCTGCTAATCGTGATAGTAACAAGACAGTTGAATATGTCACAAAAGACTGCCAACAAAAAGAAGAAAACGTGATTTAAAAAGTCTTGTTCGGTTTTACGAAGAAATTGTGGAGTCAGAGTAAAGCAGTGGTATACATACACCCGCTAGTCGGAAATTACCTCAAATGCTTTTTTTGAAGGGAGTCTTGGTGAGTATATCTGAATGCCGGACATTAAAACGGCAAACGAACTTGGGTATCCGCAAGTGTGTATGTTTGAATTTGAGATTGACCGGCGGAATAAAGTTTGTTAGATGTGGAAAGTTACACGGATGAGAGTCGGGACTGGGTTGTTTTGCTGACTGGAACATCGGGGAAGAAAGGGGGAGAAATTGATGATTGCCAGTCTTGTTATTTTGGTGGGTCTTTGGAGGTAACCAACCTGACGAGTATGAATATGTGGGGTTTTGTTGCATGTGCCATGTGAAGATACAAATGGCTTTTGCTGTGAGGTTGTGTTGGATTATAGTTAGTATAAGGGTGTTGATAGGCTCCATCATGTAAAAGGCGGATCAAGAATGGTGGAGGTAGTGAGAGGGCTGCAGTGTGTATGTAATCGATGGCGAAGGGAAGTTGTATCTGCGACATGGGTAGTAATAGCGGCATGACTGTATAGGTTGGAATTTTAACAGTGAGGGTATAGGTTCATCCTTCTTTTTGTAGTGTGTCACACTTCGGACTACATACCATATTTACTACTTATCAAGGCTAGTTGATAGACTGGCTGTAATAGGTAGAGGCTAGCCTCAATGTCCGCCTCGCACTTGAAGCTAGTCCGGAGACTGGCCTATGTTACTATGTGTAGTAGGCGGAACATCAAACGCTGCTACACGGATGGATTGTAAGAAAGGATCGATCAAACGCCTTCACATGAAAACGTCATTTCAAGGGCTAGCATGCTGATCCCGTTACGGTAACCGAAGCTAATTCAAAGCCAACAACCGTTACATAGCGCCATTCCCGCAACTCCTGGTCATGTGACATACTGGCTCCATCTTGTGCATTTATTGCTTGCCGCGTGCCTGCCCCTCGATGTTCACCTCCTCAGACTGTCCAGCCGAGCCTGAAGATCATCGTCGTCGGGGTCAGCACCTCCTCCGCCAACGGCCTGTGCCACCCTAGTTTCAGGGACTGTATTCTTTTGCAGGCCACTGGGTGTTTCGCCAAGCTGTCACTCGTTAGCAAATGCGCTTCTAAACATAACATTCGACCTACAGCCTGGCCTAGATCAATGCCTATCTCGTCCAAAACTTGGTTGACTACGTCCTCGCTCTCCTCTTCGTCTTCCATGCCCGTGGCATCGTCGATGGCGTCATCCATCATCTCCTGTCGTTGATCCATGATGTCATTCTCTTTTTCGAATTCCATGGCGATACGCTGAAGCGCAGGGAGGTTCATCTGCCTGTTCATGCTTCCAAGCAGTGCTGCGAATGTTAGTATTGTGGTGGGCACATTGGAACATGGACCTACTCGTGGCGCCCTTCATAGACTGCATCATCTGCTCATTGCTGCGAACCGTCTGCTTGCGGTCAGCCACATAGCCCCAATCTGGTTGATCATGCCCATATTTACCTGGATCCTCAACGAAATCGCCTGTAGTTGTGTGCGCATCTGGTAGAACTTCTGGATATAGCTGGAGCGAGTGTCAGTCCCAAGCCAGCAATGCGATAGGCAGCAGGCCAGCATACCGTCGTGTCCGCACCAAGTCCTTTGCCTGTATCCGCAATGGGCCCATTTGGCCATTTTTGGCGCTCTTCTTGATGTCTGCAACCAGCTTCTTTTCCTGGTTCTCGAGCTTCACGCGCTCACGGTCTAGCTCTCGTTGCGTCTTCTCGAGTGCACGCTGGTGTTTGCGCAGCCGCTCCGCCGGCGTCATGCGCTTTCCGAAGGCCCATTCTACGATCTGGGGGATATGTCAGCTGAGGCTGTAGCGAAAACCAGGCAATACTCACATTCATGGCGGCGACGGGTGCGAAGTGGAGAAGGGCCGTAGGATGGCGTAGACTTGGTGGGAGATTAGCGGGTAGGGCCTAACCGCTACCTGTCGCTATCAAGGATGTGATGTAGGCAGGTAGATTGGCAAAGATGGCGGTGAAGTAGCCCACCTGCAACCACCCGGGCTCCCAGTAATTGTCACACGTGGGCTGGGTTGCTGGATTGTGGTAGATATTTGGTGTTCTGCCTGCCTGGTCGAGTAGCCGTTGGATCGTCACGCAGGCCGGCACGTAGGCATGTAGGGGACTGCAATGCCGAGCCTTTGTCAAGTTATCACACTTGCATTGTCGGGCTTCCACTAGCTAACGGATTTCTATACTGGAGGCTCGCTGTCTCCCCCTCCAGGCCACTTCCTTGCCACTCGCTCACATGCAAGACGCTGTATCGCATTGTCAGCCGGGCGGTCGCGTAGGAAGTGGGCGACAGCCAATCCCTGCGTGCAATCTTGGTGGCGTGTGCACCACCAACTCTGACGTTCCCTCGCTGCATATTCTTTTCCTTCGTCCGCCGCCTCCCTCGTCCACGACACCATCTCCCCGTATCCAACACGACATGCGCCCCTCCTTGTAGCCTACAACAATACATCAAACCTCCCCGATGAATCCAAACCGCCGCAACAACCGCCGCCCCTCCACGCCGGGAGAGTCCTCCAGCAGCCGCCAAGGCTCTTCCGACGGCTTTGTCCCGCGCCGAAATGCAGGACCCGGATACATGACCGTCGGCGGCGGTAGCACAACCAGTGATGCCGCTGCCCGCCTGGTGTCTATGCTGGACGAAGACTCTGGCTATGGCGGTAGTGTGCAGGATGGCGAAGGCTCTGGCATGAATTGGCGCTCCAACATTGGCGAAGACCGCCCCTCACCTGTACCCATACTCTCCGCAGGCTCATCAAATGCTGAGCACGAGAAGCAGCGCAGCCACGTCCTTCAACTGCGATACAACCAGAACAAAAATGCCCTCGGCCGCGCAATCCACGGCACAATCGAGGCCTTGAAGAGTTTCCAAGAAATGAATTTGAAATGGCCCGCGCACTACCCTTCTATCCAAGCAGCAGAGAAGCAAAAATCACATCTTCGCAGCGACTCGCGGCCCGGACTACACCACACCCAGTCCGCAATGGGCGACTTCGATCCCGCTTCCCGCTCGCCTGAACGACCCCGCGGACCACGACGAGCCGGTACCACGATCGGAGACGACGCCGAGTCCAGTTCAGCCATCGAACAAAAGCGAAAGGACGAGCCTCGACTAGTGACACCTCAACTCGCCCACGATTTCTCGGTCCTGAAATTAGAATTGCGCATGGGCAGCCGGACACAAACAGATTTGGTCCATTCGCTCGAAAAGAACTCCGTCGCCTCTCTCCTGGACGGTCAGATCCAGCAAAGTATACGCCACCTGTTTGCCCTCAAGGAGCGCATTGAAGACACCTCAAGCAAGGTCCTGGTGACCGGAGACCTGAACGCTGGAAAGTCTACGTTCTGCAACGCCCTGCTCCGTCGCAAAGTTCTTCCCGAAGACCAACAGCCTTGCACGAGCATATTCTGCGAGGTCCTTGACTTTAGAGAGAATGGCGGGGTTGAGGAAGTTCATGCCATCCCCATTGGATCGACCTACAACCGCAACGACGAGAGCACATACATTGTCTTTGATCTGAAGGACCTTGAAAAGATTGTGATCGACAACGATCATTTCTCACAATGCAAGATTTATGTCAAAGACATCCGCGATGTGGACGAATCTCTGCTGAACAACGGCGTGGTTGACATTGCCCTTATTGATGCACCTGGACTCAATGCCGATTCCATTAAGACCACGGCAGTTTTCGCCCGTCAAGAAGAAATTGACGTTGTTGTCTTTGTCGTTTCAGCCGCCAACCACTTTACAGAATCTGCGAAAAACTTTATCTTCACAGCAGCCCGCGAGAAGGCTTACATGTTCATGGTGGTGAACGGCTTCGATACGATCAGGGATCAGAGACGCTGCCAGGAAATGATTTTGAAGCAGGTCAACAGCCTCAGCCCAGCAACTTTCAAGGAATCCAGCGAACTAGTGCACTTTGTTTCGAGTAACGCAATTCCCATGGGTGCAGGCGGAAGTCCTCCAGATGACGACGATGACGACCCATCGGGCAAGGGTAAGGGCAAGGAAGCAGAAAAACAGCGGGATTTCGCAGACCTTGAAGCTTCACTAAGACGTTTTGTCCTGGAGAAGAGGGCCAGATCAAAGCTAGCGCCAGCAAAGACTTATCTGCTCAACGTATTAGGAGACATGCACAACTTGGCAACTATCAACCGCGATGTTTCCCAGAACGAACTGGACCGTATCAAGAAAGAAATTGAGGCGCTCGAGCCAGAGTTTGAAGAATCAAAGAAGTCTCGAACAGAAGCTGGAGAAGCAGTGGACCGCATGGTGGAGGACACGACCTCGGAGGTCTACGGCCACACCCGCGACACTCTCAACGACTGTATTGCTAAGGTGGCCGAGCTAGACTTGGGCATCGAATACCCAGGACTCTTTTCAGCCTACCAGTATGCCGAAGACATTCGCGATTCCATGTTGCACGAGGTCACCGAAAGCGTTCGCCTATGTGAAGAGTATGCGCGAAACCAGGCTGTACAGGGCTACAATGGCATCAAGAATCTAGGTGTCTTGCATCTCGGCAACAACCTGTATGCGGATGTCATGTTCCGCCCAGAGCGAATGTTTAGAAAGTCTGTGCACGCTCTGGCTAGACAAGTCGACATTGACATTGACTTGTGGGACTTTTTCGATGTCGCAAGTCTTTGGGAGCGACAAGAGAAGGCCGCAGGTGCTGGTATGGCTATGACAGTTGCAGGTCTAGTAGGAGGCAGGCTAGTCGGTGGTGTTGGCTGGGTGGATGGCGCTCTCGGTGCTGCCAAGATCATGGGCACGGCCAATATGAGGAGACTACTGATCCCAGGTCTCGTCGCTGGTGGTAAGTCATGCCGCACAAGCATGTCCCGATTATACTAACGTTTGCAGTTGCTCTCGGAATATCCTATGTTCTTGCATCAGTACCCAAGTCGCTTCCTCATCGACTCAGCGCTAAGCTGTCTCAGCAGCTGACGGCAATCGACTACACCCACTCAAATGCTCTTCGCATTAGCTCCGAGGTCCGACGCGCACTGAAAGGTCCCGCCAATGATGTTCGGATTGGTCTGCAGAGGAACGTTGAAAAACTTCAACTTCAAAAGGAGGAGACGACCAAGATCAAGGCTGAGACCGAAGTAGCTCGCAAATACTTTGGCAACCTGGTCCGCAGCAGTAACGATTTGCTCCAGACAGTGCAGCGAGTTGACCTTGAGGCTGCAGCACCTGTGATTGCTGGCCCGACGCAGTAGGTTAATCAATTCATGTTGTTATGTCCTTTGGAAGAATTATGGATCACGCGAATAAAGCAAGATGCTTTTGAGCATGAAGGCGTTTGAAGGTGTTTAGTGCAGGCTATGATGAAGTCATGGCCGTTTTCCTGTGTACACACAAATAACCAATACCCCTCTTGCCCCATTGAATGACATTTTTAGAATTGCACTTTGACTGTTTGCACATGTGGTTTGCTGATGAGAGTGATGCCAAGCGGAGGTGCGGAGCCCCGAACGTCTGTCGTCATGCTAGGCTCGAACATGAACGCCTAGCCAACGTCGCCGCCCACCTCAACATCCAACATCTGCCACTTGATGGCGCCTCACACATCGTCAAAACCGCGGTGATGGAAGTAAGAAGAGACCCACGGTCTTTTCTTTTCTTCATAATTCTCCTGCTGCTCATCAACTCGCCTGAGCCGCAGCAGCCTACGTTCAATGCGCGCACGCGATTCCGGGAACTCATTGATCGCGAATATTACCAGCTAGACCTGTTGAATCGAACGCGATATGGAGATTTTGATGCGAAGAATAACAAGTGGTTGAATATCAGCGGGCTGCGAGAAGAAGATGGCTTTGCATGGGAACTGCTGGACCCTGTGAGGCAAAAGGCCAAGGCGCAGTCGGAGCAGATACTCAGGGAACCATGGAAGAAGATGCTGGATGGGCCACTCGAACAGGAAGAGCGTATGATGCCCGTATACAAGAACCTTTCTGGCTATGTGCAAGGCGAATGGACACGCTCACCTCTCAGTCGTATCCGACACCCCGGCGATATGGGCAACGCCTCGTCAAACCCGGATAACCCGTTTGGAAACATCGTTGACTTTGACCGGAATATAACGGGAGCAGGAGGACCGGTGCGGCTGCATATCACGGAGCTCGAAGACAAGATGCGAAGAAACGAGAACCAAACCATATCTGAGATTAGCGCAAAAGTAATCATCGGTGACAGGGACAGCTTTGGGGGCAACTGGTGGGAGTTTGTAGTCCATGGCGTCCATTTCCTGAAGAGCGGCACTGCTGTGTTGACTACGACCAGCGAGCGATTTGCAGGAATCTTCGCCCTACCCCATATGCAGATTTCGCCGTATCTGTATGCCACATCGCAGGAGTTTCTCAACTGGACCATACACGAAACGATCGAGCGGCAAGAGAAACGTACGTTTGTCTTGTGGAACCCGTGGACATCTGCGGTAGATGGAGCCAACGAAGGCTTGTTCCAGGGTCGTCATTGCGAGTTTGTGTTTTATCTTCAAGAGTTTCCGAGCCCGTATAACATTGACATGGACTGGCTGGAGCACGAACTACGATATCCCACGGGAGCTCCGATTCCGCGGCAAACATCACACACCATGTCTATGGTGGGCTTCTCTCCGGACTGCGGGCTTGTGATTGAGTCAAAGGGTCCTCCAGACTTTCCACCCTCCGAAGCAATGCACTTGGTGGGCTCAAAAACGGAAATCTTCAATACGCGGGCCAGACAATCCGTCATTGCATTTGCCATCAGTTTGGCATTCCAGCTCTGGTTTACCATGAAGCAGATGAAGGAGACTGCAACACCATCGATGCGTAGCAGG